AAGGCATGAGGGTATGAACAGCGATCAAGAAGAATTAAAACGGTGTACTCGATGGTAATAACAATGACTATGTCGAGGTACAACCGGCGTGCGAACAAAAAAGAATGAGACTGGACTGAAAGCTGCAAGTCGTCTCTATACTCTTACTATACTCATACTATTATTGTAGCGAGGTGCAGTATAAGCCTCCACGAATATTTTCCATGATTGGAGCAAGCGTGAAACATCAAATACTACTGCTACTGCGGCACGGGTGCCAACTCTGCCATCCGTTCTAGAAAGCGGATGCACTACCGAACCCAACCCACCACTCACAACATAGCCTACGCGCAACATGCAATATCCATCTCCAGGAAAAGATGGCCAAGAAAAGCGGCTGAGGAGCGTTTCCAGGACAGCTGCCTGCGGCGTAAGCGTCGGAAGCTATCAGCCCGGGGCGCTGCTGAGGGTGTAGCCGTACAGCGATGGGGGTTAACCGCTGGCCTGGTCGCATGGGGAGAGCCTAGTGTCTTCTGTTGCCGCCGTGTTATGAAATAAATATGCGGTCGGGCTTAATAATAGTAGTTGGCCCCCATCATGAGGATAGGTATAATGCATCGATGTGGCACAGTTATACTGATGATAGGTGTTTCGAGCCTCATTCAGGACTGAAACGAACGCAGTGGCTGGGACGTTAGAGATCGATGTTGTTTATGCTGTAGGAGCGAATGAAAATTGATCTGGCAAGCCTTAGAGTTATCATCATAGTCCACATGGGAGTATTGATCATTGAAAATGATCGAGACATGGACGAATCCGACGTTTGGTGGGGTCTGATGGAGGGCGCACGCTAATTGGTGCCAGCGCGCTTAAGTGTAAATTTAGTCTTAGACGCGTGGCCGTAGGCTTATTTGGGCGTAGCGTCTTCATTAGCCTATCATCGCCAACGGATAAATGCAGAACAGTTCGTCCCCAGACTTCAATCCTTGCACAAGCAGCATGTAAATTCTAGCACGTGCAATATCACACGCGCTGTAGGATTCCCATTCAATAGAGATTCGCAAACGCAACTGAGTTCGCGGTTTCTTCGGATTCAACCATTCAACTCCTTTCCTGGCCAAACTCGAAGCAGGAACTTGGCTGCTGGCCTTGATACCTCTCTGGCTTACGGCGCAGTATGTCATTCGGTGATCAGCATGAGTTGACACGTGTCTGACAGTGGGGTATAGTAGTGCACGGCAGCCAACTATGATCGCGGCTAGCCAAACTGCCTTCCCAGATACTCGGGTTCTCCCACTGGCCCACTCAGTGCGGCTCTTGCTTTAGTTGCACGCCACCGGCTTGCCATTTGTGCGGCGGATTTTTAGACCCTTCCAATCCGTTGGGGACTTGTTTGCCATAGCCGCTGGTCCTTAATCGGTGTCATGGTCGCATGTGGAGGCCTACTGTTTATACGCTTCGTGGCTGGGATCGACTGACATGCGACGAGATGATCTTATGCTATGTTGGTTATTCTTCGGTTGTCCCATTCTGGTTCGCGGTCTCGCAGTTCATAGGATTAACCCCACAATCAAGCAGATGGTAATTGGCTACTTGTACAATGTTTGAAGGAGTTGTGCATGTAACGTCGATGTTGGATTTGGTGAGCACCATGCTGAAAAAATTTGTGCGAGGCTGGTAAAGCATTATTAGGGCATCTTGATTGCCCTCATCCTCATCCTCGCCCTCTTCATTGCCCCCTTCCTCTTCCTCGTCCTCTTCCACGTCCTCGATGCCTTGCTTGTCTATGTGGAACATCACCTCTAGGCCATCGATCACCCTCGTGACGAGGATCCTTCCAGCGCTCATCCAAACCTCTCAAGCTTTGTAAGTCTTTGTATTGACCCGCTGCAACCTCATGTTCTATATCGACTTGTACCAAGAGTTGCATACCTATGCATTCCTCACTGCCTTGCTCATACATGCCCAGGTTCAACACGTCATCTTGTCGACGGTATGGCAATGAGAGCATAGGATCCGGATGTTTGTTGTTCACGGAATGAAACGTTAAACTCTGGACTGCGCCTTCAAGTCCAGCATATACATTTTGTGACGTAGGCGAAGGTATAGATAAGCTATAGACAGACGAATTTTCCCGGCCTCTCCAGTATTCCGTTCGGTAAACGCGAGGCTTCGGTGGTGTCCGTGGATTGAGGAAAAGATTCCATCCGCCACTCAAGACGGTTGTATTGCTCTTAGTATCATCGACAACCTCATTAATAGCAAAGTCGCTTTTCCTCGGCTTCTTGGTGGGTTTCGATGGCATCTTAATAGTGTGATAAGCATGCGACCCTGATAATCGCAAGTCAAAGACCTTGATCATAGCATGCTTTGATACCCCTGCCACGATTCGCTCGAGACCGTGTGAAGCGAGTGAGTAGACCGAGCAATCGTTCGTTGGATCGAAGTACATGAGCTCAAAGTTGCAGGGTGAGCGCATGTCATGGAGCCTGATGATACCATCGGAGCCTCCAGATAAGAAAGTCTGGCCTGCTTTTGAGCCACCATACGCATCGTGTGGCAATGGCAGGGTCGGATACACACAGGTTTCGCGCAGGTTGGCCCTTGAGTTTGGGTGATCTAGATTGAATGTTCGTACTGGAGTAGGCCCGAACCCGTCAGGCGTAATCTCATAGACCTGAACTGGTTCGTGATATGGCCCCAGGCCAACGACCACCTTAGTATCGCAGAGGAAGTTACAGGACCATAGTCGTGAATTTTTAGCAACCTGAGTGCCTTCTGAAAGCGGTTGAATAGGCATATCGGAGCGCCTATCGTGATTCATAGCATATAACGACATGGAGAAATCTCCAAGCGTCGCAGCCATCATTGGTGACGTTGAAGAAGAGACGGCCACGGATGAAACAGCTCGACCATTTGTATCATAATGTTGCTGTACAGTCTCGGCTTGATCAGGGCTGACACTGAGTGCTGACAGAGCTCCTGAAGCAGTGCCATATACAATTGTCTCGTAAGCCAAGTCGCGTTGATGTGTCCGAAGTAACTTCAAACTAGTTATATCATCCCGGCCCTCAAGGCTCTCTGGAATTTTGTAACTGTACCAGGAATTCAGGTGGCCAAAATTGTCGTAGCCCCAATTCTGATCTGCACTTTCAGCCAGGTGGCCTTTTAATTGACGGATCTTGTCAATTCCTGAGCCGGCCTCCCGTATTCTTACGACAATTTGCGTTCCTGCAGACCAGGCCAGAACCTCTCTTCGCTCACGCCATCCTCCATACATCTCCTCGTAACTGTCAATGCAAGGCTGATACCCCATTGTCTGACCCCGAGGATCTCGCCATTGCACGGGCCGCCAATTGTTTAAACTTGTGACTTTGATTGATGGTTCCAAGTATTTCGTGAAGAGGCCTCTGCGATCCCAGTTGTGGTACAGCGTTGTGAGGCCATGGACGGAGGTTTGCGCGTCAGAATCCAGTCCATTAATGCCGAAACGACCTCTCAAAAATGCTTTCCACCCATCCAGCTTGACGAATTCTGATAAGCTGCGACTGGCTAGCGAAAGGTAAAGGAGATCTCTCGGTCGTTCCAGATGGCTAGCAATCAAGGAGAGAATCTCATTTGGCAACGCGCTCAGGGTTGCCATGCTGGTACAAGACTAGGGAATCGGTGCGGTGTCCTCCTGTATGTCAGCTTACTCTGTCTTGTTGTGAAAGACTCTGAATAATTGTTGGGGACGGCGGTGATATGAAGCTAGAAGTTTCATGACTGACCGAATATTAAGTGACTCTTCAACAATGACGACGACAGATTCTCGCTTGCTGGCGCGGCGCACCGACCACCTTACATACCGACATGATGATGGGGGGTCAGCGGTAGGAGTCATCGCTGACACTGGATCCCAGAAAGTCCAACTATGACTCCTGGATGCCCTGTCATGGACTTCAGAACACATCAGATTTGCGATGCTGTGGCTCGCCGTTCGAGAGCCTCGCAGAGTAACGGGGTTACCAGTTTGGTTTAGCCGCCGGCCCTCCCACATGGCAGCCTCGCTAATTTGTAGTCAGCCCCCACGCTCTGCCTAATTGGGACACGCTAAGAATGCACCCCAGCCCCAGCACCATCCGATACACGCGTACCTATCAGTTTCACCCCTTTCCCCAGTGTATCGAGTCAAGGTGATGCACAGTTGTCAACCTCCGCTCTATTAGGTTATGTACGACTGCGCCATAGTCCTCTCTTTTGTAGACAGTCCTGCTGCATCTTGAGGTATTGTCTTCCGGAAGGCAGCGGACATAGCGCAAGTAGAACCTTAGTTAATCCTAGCAAGGCACAACCATCCAAGCGTGAGCAGCTAAAAAGTCAGTCATCCCGCTCACCCCTCCCCACTCACTGGCTGCGTTGGGAGCCTTTGACTATCTCTTCCTCATGTTACTTGTCTGGCAACTCTGGGAGCGCAAACCACATCCACGACGCGCCACAGCGTAATGGAAAACACGAACGAGAAGAGAGTGCATGCACTCATCCGTGCCGTCGGAAACAACCGCGATCGCCTTCACATTGACGAGTTGCGCAAAATACATGACCGCTCCACGTGCAGCAATGAATCCTCCATCAACTTGATTGCGCAACTGACGGCGCTCAAATCAAATCTGGGGACCATTCAGGACTGGCTAAGATTTGCGATACACGACTTGCACCCGCAGTTACTTTCGGATCTCGATGTGCTTATGGTTTCTTGCGGATCGCTCGTGCGACATCTCGACACGTTGACTGAGCGCCTTGGCCGCTCGGACAACGATGCCACGGATTTTGCGGCTAGGCTCAAATACGCAGTTGGCTGTAAATCAATGGAACGACTGCGTGATGTTGCGCAACGCCAGAACGAGGCTGTGACTCTGCTGCTCGCAGCGTGCAAATGGTAAGATGATCGGCTGTCAGCGACACCCGTGGCGGAATGTTCTGACCTCCCCCCTAGTCACGCATCGGCGCAACGCAAGATCCTATTGCACAAAAGTCGCCAAATACGGAAAGAAGATGCTGCAAATCTCAAGACATTAGCGCGATCGACCAGATGGAATGGGACTTGCATCAGTTTTCTAACTCAGGTGTCTCGCATGATTCAGTGGTTCAGGTTTCTGTTCCACTTGAAGCTTGCGCGGCGCAACGAAATTGATTGCAATATGACCTCAAACGGCGAATGGTATGAGTTTGCTGCTGCAGCTAATCGATCTGATGCCATTGACCGCGCACTGCAAGAAGAAGCAACGACCATGCATCGAGAGACGAAATTAGTCATGGTAGGCGACTTCAACAGTGGCAAACAACTCGTCATGCACCAAATGAAAGTTCTGTTTGCCGAAGGATACTACTCTAGAGAGCAACGGGCAGAGTACTGCTTTGCCGTGCGGTCTACCGTACGTCTACTAATCCACTCGATAATCGACCTCTTAAAAGACACTGGCATCACTCTTCCCCAAGAACTAAACAAGCATTTTGCCGTTCTCCTCACCGAAGTCGAAGCCAGCGATATTTCTTACATTACTCCAGAAGCCGTCACTGCCATCTCCGCCATCTGGCTCTCCCCAGAATTCTCCTCCCTCTACATCCGCAACTTTGAAATCGACTTTCCCCAATACGCACCCTACTTCGCCCAAGAAGTACCCCGCATCGCACACCCAGACTACATACCTAGCGAAGCGGATATCATCCGGCTGAATCGCGATCTGGGCGGTATCAAAGAAGTACGCTTCCATTGGGACGAGCTCTCGGTCCACCTCTTCAACATCAACGGTCACATCCCCAACCAATTCCAAAAGCGCTGGTTCCACCAACTCGAAAACGCCACCTCCCTCGTCTACACCGTCGACGTCTCGCGCTACGACCGCCCCCACCTAGGCCAAGCATCTGCATCCCAACTCCTCTACGACTTTCAAACCTTTGAGTTCTGGGCTACATGTCCGAAATTCGCAAACTCCTCCATCATCCTGCTCCTCAACAACTTTTCCCGCTTTTGCGAGAAAATTCAACATTTGCCGCTTCAGACCTTCTTCCCGGAGTTCAAACCGTCGGTAGCGGGCGTGGATTCAGAGACTGCGGCTAGAGAATATATACTCAAGCGCTTTAGAGATCTGAATCGTAACCGGCTATCTATCTACAGCTTCTGGGTCGACCTAGATATGAGTGATAATCAGCACTTATACGCTGCACTCAAGAAGACATTACAGCATATACAGCAGCGCAATGCGCGGAGCGAGGTGTGGAGCGAGAGTAGTAGTGGTGGCGGGAGCTCGGGGAACCTGCTGTCGAAGACGCTGAGCAGACCACTGTCGGGAAAGAGACATGGCGTGAAAAGTTCGAGGTCGTTGAGTACGGTGTTGAGTGAGGAGACGCGGTGAAGTGTTTGTTGTAATGTAATGGGCGGGTGGTGTTGATTTAGCATGGCTTCGGCCAGTTTGGGTATTTTGTTCGGGTCGTCAGGGAACCGGGTGATTCCTGTTCTGGCGTTTTCGGAGAGGGATTCAAGTGATACCAAGGGATGCATGGAAAGGAAACAGAGAAGTTTGGGGTTCTTACAGGGCTAGTGCTAGAATTTGTGGAAAGACTCAAGCATGAGATCTGACATGAATACACTATAGCTTTAGAAGACAAGTCCCCCTCCCCTGCATGCGTCTGCCGTCATTGCTCAAGCGGGAGTTGCTAGTTGTCCTCGCCACAATAGACTAATTATCGTCCCCCTTAACTATAAGGTACGTTATCAATATCCTATAACGTTAATATGTTATTATATTCTCTACATATATTCTAATATCGTTAATAGTATTTTTTCATACCCTTAAATCGTATATATTACGTTGTATTATACTTTGTGATAGTTATACATAACTTAAGAATATGTAATTTATAATAGTTAACTATAACTATAAATAATATATATAATATTTATTCACCAAGTATTAGGTCTAATAGTAGTTATAGTATTAGGGTAGTAATTACGTGAACATGGGCATAGCGCGCGTAGCCTTGGTGTTGCAATTTTAATACCACGTTAATATCCACCATCTATGTCCCCACAAATGGGGCAGTCTGGAAGTGTTTACTTCTGCCCTATTCCCTGCGCGCGACAATTGGAAATGAATCAAAGCTAGCGCATTCGAAACTTTGCAGAGTTGAGGAAATAAAGATGATGTTTAAGCAAGCTGTGGTTATCAAGCTCACGCCGCCTCGATGAACAGATTGTGGCGCGAGCTGTGAATTACCCGCCAGCGATGTCAGCTATACCGCTGGTGGTTGCCATTGGCCCAACGTCACCGTCGGTCGATACACTCAAGTCTCGTGATGCTGCAACAACTGGCAAATGTTCCTAGACAGTCACATGGGGTGCATATTAGAATGTAGGTAGATGTATTACGAGTATGTGCTACATCGTAAGATCTTACTTTCCGCTGTGAGCTATCCAGTGTGACCAGATACATTCGCCGCCGTAATATATATACCCACTACATCCACCATACTTGGCCATCATTATCCATTTCTCAGCGATGCACTGAGTCATAAGCCAGCCACTGTTCAGGCCGCTTGGAGGTATAAAACTCTGCGCGCGAAATCAACCACGTGTCCACCCATATCCATGTCGTTGTCATCTATGGTGAAAGAAAAAGAAACAAGGAAAGGGGTAGTATGGAAGACATAACCAATCCGAGAGACCGAGATGGTGTGACAGCCAACGTCCAGTGAAGGGGTCAGCTGTTCGAAAGCTAAGAGAAACCCGGAGATCGCATCGTAAACGTGAAGAACTTTTGTGCAATCCGTCATAAGCCGTCCGTCGTAAGAAAGAGCCGTAAACCATGCGCCATTCGCCATTGAAGATATCAGGAAAGCACGGGGAGTTGCTGCCGTTCACAAGTGACAGCGAATAAATCCGACATGACGCCCACTACAGACAATTTAAGCCTTCTCTTCTTTGGCCTCGTCCTTGGGGGCCTCCTTCTCAGTCTCACCCTCCTTGTTCTTGACGTATTCGTCGTAAACGCTCATGGCTTCTTCGACCTTGGCGCGAAGAGCGGCCTCGTCAGAAGTCCTTCGTCAAGTCAGCATGTGAAATTCGAGTTCGATAGGACTGGGAAAACTTACAGGTTGATCAACTCGCTGTTGTCCATCTCCAAGAGCATACCAGTGATCTTTCCGGCGAACTCAGGCTGCATCTCGTGAATCTTGGGGTAGAGAGCTTCACCAAGCATTTGCTTTTGCTGACCGGGGGGAGCAGAGCTGAGAGCACCCATGTCAACACCGCCAGGACCACCAGCGCCACGCCCGCCTTGAGGGAAAGGCATAGGAGGCTGACCGCGGCCCTGTGGAGCTCCACGACCAGCACCTTGGGGAGGGAAGCCTCCTTGGCCACCGCGCATACCAGGAACACCAGCCATCTGACCTTGGGGCATACCGGGCATGGGAGCCATTGGGCCACCGCGGCCGCCGCGTCCACCCATAGCCTGCTGAGCAGCCTGAGCCAGCTGAAGGTACTGAGGGTTCATGTAAGGAGGGAATGCGCCAGGGGCCATGCCGGGTGGCATGTACATAGGAGGCATCTGCTGGGCATTGGGTCCACCACGACCGCCTTGCTGGCCAGGCATAGCGCCGGGGAAACCTGCACCTCGGCCGCCTTGCTGGCCGGGTATACCGGCGGGGAAGGGCATCTGGCCTCGACCACCGGGAGGGAACATCATAGGCTGTTGGCCAGGGGCAATGAACATCTGAGGAATACCACCGAACTGCTGCTGCTGTTGCTGTTGCATGCGAAGCTGGTTGCGGGCCTGAATAGTGGCCTCGAGTTGGTTCTTGCGGACATCCTTGCGTTGAGCGAGAGCAACATACAAAGGCTTTCCCTCGAGCATCTTCTGGTTCATCTCAGTGACGGCTTTGGTAGCCTCATCAGGGTTGCTAAAGCAAACAAAGCCGAAGCCCTTGCTCTTGCCGAGGATCTTCTTCTCGCCCTTGATGGTGACCTTATCACCAGCCTTGGTGTCCTCCTTCTTGTCATCAGTAGAGTCCTCCTTGGCCTCACCCTCCGTCTCCTTGGACTCCTCCTTGCCATCTTTCTCCTCTTCCTTCTTGTCAGAAGGCGAGTCGGAGCGGTCAGCAGGCATGGCATCACGCATGACCTTGGCGGATGTGATGGTACCAAACGGAGTGAACATGTCCCGAAGCTTCTCGTCATCGACATCATCGTTCAGGTTCTTGATGTAAAGGTTGACACCCTGGTACTTGGACTGCTTCTCAAGGCGGGCAGCCTCGTATTGCTTGCGAAGCTCCTCCTCACGCTCGTGCTTCTTCTGGGCACGACCGACATAGAGCTTCTGACCGTGGAACTCGGTGTCGTTGAGGGTCTCGACGGCGACAGAGGCGGCTTCGTGCTTGATGTAGTTAACAAAGCCAAAGCCACGGCTCTTGCCCTGGTCATCGCGGGCGATGGAGGCGGAAGTGATATCACCGTGCTTCTCAAAGAGATCACGGAACTCATCGTCGGTAACATCCAGGTCAATGTTCTTGACGTAGATGTTGGTGAAGTTGGCCTTCATTTCCTCGAACTTACTCATACGCTCCTTTTTGGGAATGTGGTGGCCGACAAAGACCTTCTTCTCATTCAACAGCATACCATTAACATGCTTGATGGCGTTGTTGGCAGCCTCGGCGGTCTCGTAGTGGACAAATCCGTAGCCCTTGGAGTTGCCGTGCTCGTCCTGAGCGACCTTGCAGCTGAGAATGTTGCCAAAGGCAGCGAAGGTGTCGTGGAGCGCCTTGTTGTCAATGGCATGGTCAAGGTTCTTGATAAAGACGTTACCTTGGCCAGTCTTGCGGAGAGCGGGGTCACGCTGCGACCACATGATGCGGCATGGCTTTCCCTTGATGACAGTGTAGTTCAGCTCCTCAAGGGCCTTTTCTCCATCCTCAGAGCTGTTGTAATTAACATACGCATAACCGAGCGAGCGACGGGTAACGGCGTCGCGGCAAACACGTATGGAAGCGACCTGGCCAATCGAAGAGAAGAGCTCGAAGAGCATGGCCTCGGTGACAGAGGGGTCTAGCTCGCCGACATAGAGCGAAGCAGAGTTCTGGTGGGCCTGTTGCGCAGTGGTGGGGGTGGGGGCCTCGCCCTGGGTAGCGCCGACGTTGGTGTCGATCTGGGTGCCGTTGGCGGGCGCGCTGTCCTGGACAGGCGAGGTAGAGTTGGCGACGTCAGACATGTTGTAAAACTGCGTCACAAACTGTCAACTAGCTGGTCGTGGGCGCAGGTGGTGTGGGGTCAGGGCAGGAGCAGCCGTGCCCTCACTTGTGCTCGCTTCGCACACAAAAAAAAAGAGTTTGAGGACTCACCTTCTACGTTTGACAACTTGAAGCAGGAGAAGATGCGGGGTAGCAAAGTGTTTGCAGAAGCCCAAAGAGCAGAAGCAGAGCAGAGCCGGCGCACAGCTTGTTTTTTTTTTCGCGAGGAGGGGTGTGGTGGCAGGTGGAGGGGGAGGACTGTCGGCGAACAAGCGACAGTGGATTGACGAGGATGTTTGGCGGAGGTCGTCAGACGGGGTTTTCTTTTGTTTTCTGGATTTTTTTGTTTCTTTTTCTGTTATGAACGGCTCGCAGGGAACCGTGGCTGAGAAAGCTGTCGGTGTGGTTGGGCGGTAAGACGGTTGCGGTTGGAGGAAGTGATGAGGTTGCTTTCTTAAGAATATTCTGTGCGGCACGTCTGTGCGGCCCGTGCGAAGACGCTTGGCCAGATTGAGGCGGCGCAACCGTGGGCGGTGAATGGAGGAAAGAGCTTTGTGCATATCAAACCTGGGCAGCAACGGACCGACAATACTTGCCGCGACATCTGCATGGGCAGTGTCAACCACTCTGTCGTCGCCCTCGTTTGCCCCTGGTTTCAGCGGCGAACCAAAAACTCGCAATCGATTTTACCGCGTGGAACCTTGGGAGTGTTTCACACGTCTGGTTTACATGTCACGCATGGCAGAAGAGGTCCCCAAGCGAGGAAGGACCGTTCTGTGCATACCTATAAAGTGAAGGGCTGACTGCATATACACAGGGATCGGTGTCGTATGTGCTGGTCAGACTGAAGAAAGCCTTGATCGTTCCGAGAATCCAAGTCGGAACCTCAAAACTAAATGAATACGAAAGACGGCAGGTTATATCGATGAGCATAGGCGCATGTCAAATTCTGTTAGCAATCACTCTGGCAACGTGCATGCAGGGCCATATTGCTCGTTGAGTCTGGAATCCGGATGCGCAAACGTATATTTCAAACGGGTATCGGTATGCAGACGTGAAAGATGCTAGCCATGCCTAAATACTCCAAATCCGTTCCTTCCCTTGTGCTACTCCGTCAGGCTGTCATCCCAGCCAGCTTGCTCGGTGAGATGATGCTCCACCCTCGATTTACAGTCTTCCAGGCCCTGGCCAAGGGCTTCATTCCACTGGCTTTCGACTAAGCCAACCTTCTCCTTGAGATCATCTGTTAAGCGACGTTCTTCATCTGCCCTGATAGCCTTCATCTCTCGATCTACGCCGGCCAAGTCTTCACCTTCTTGCAACCTCTGGGTCTCGAGCAGGCGAGACCCAGCTGTCATCACTCCAGTCTTGACTTCATGCAGCAGACACAGTAGGTTGATCTGCGATTCGATGAACTGATAGGCGGAGCGACCGGCGTGTGCAAGAAGCGTATACAGATACTGTAACGGGTAGTCGTGGTATGCTGGGTTCTCCTCATACTCTTGGGGAGGTACCAAGACTTCGAACCCGTGTAGACGTTGAGGTACCTGCTGGACGATGGCCAACAACCCTGGTGCAATATCCCAGAATGCCGATAGCTGGGCTTCCACCCCTCTTGTTACGTTCTGTTCGATTACATTCATAAAGTCCTCGTAACGCTTCAAAACCCCCTTCTCAAAGGTGACCTTGCGATCCTGTGCGTCGTGTTGAAAGAAGCTAGTAGCTTCTTTGACCTTTTGCTCGTTCTTCTGTTGTACGTAGGGTAGAACGATGATGTCTCTGTACAGATCATTGCGCTCATCTTCCAGGTCGAACATTTCTTTATGCAGTTGCTCACGAGCTTCAAATAGCCACTTGAGCAATGTGAGCATCTCCAACAATTCAGGCTTCTCATCTCCCTCTTCTTGCATCTGGTTGGGATTCAACTCTTGCGCTTCATTACTTAGGCGTCCCTTCAGCTGCTCCATGGAGGCTGTAGCTTTGGTGATGCGCTCACAGAACATTGCATGTAGAGGATTGGCCACCTCTGTTTGAAAGGTGTCGAAGACATATTGTACCACATCTTGCGCTCGTTGGTGTTCTCGAGATTCAAAGTCCGCTTCTGCCTTGGCTGCATCGGCAAACGACATGACGCCGTTGCGAACATTATCTTGAATGTTATAGCGGAGCTGAGCTCTTCGATCCGAAAGCGATGCGTTTTCCTGCTCCTTGCGTTCCTCTATTTTCGTTGCAAAATTCGATTTGGAGCTTTTTACTTCCTCGAAGTCTGTAAGTGTGCGTAGGCTGCCCCTAATAGAAGCCAAATCGGGGTGACTGTTGTTGACAGCCGGATGATGCCGTGGATATGAAGGAGGAAGTGTGACAAGTCTCGAAACATCCAGTTTATGTGAATCTGGTGTTGCCGTTGCAGATCTTGGATGATACCCGTAAGGTGGCTGCAACTGCGGCTGAGGTTCGGGATGCATCCCAACCTTCTCCGGAGGATACTCGTGAGGACCGTACATCTGTCGGCCGCTGGAGTCCTGACGCTGTCCTAGTGTGTTTTGATCACCACCCGCCCATTGCAAGCTCTCACGGGCTTCCTTGGGCAAACTCATGTACTTGGACTCTCGTTTGCTCCGTTCCAATCGCCTCCCCCCGCCTACTCCCGATGATCCTCCGTCGCTTTCCCACCAGCGACTTGCTGAGCGTCCTCTTGAACCCTCTTCATCCGGCACAGTGCTCATAGCCATGCTGGGGATTGGTGACAGGGATGGATGATAATTGTTGGCCCAAGCTGCATCGCGGGCTTTTTGGCTCGATGCACTGGACGGGGACGCTGGCTCGGTATGCGGGGTGAAATTACCCACTGATGACGCAGGACTTGCCGCCGTTGTGGGCATTGAATTGGAAAACCTTGTGTCTGGCGACTCTCCTGCTAGTGATGCTTGCGATCTTTTCCCCTTGAGTCCGGGCGTCATCGCCTGGGTGTTGGGTGTCGCTGATCTTCTTCCCGTGTAATTACCGTACGAACGCCACATGTCTCTTGTCAGATCCATGATATCGCCGGCCATGGCATCGAAGGCAGTGGAGTAGCGATCCCGACGGAGCCGAGATTCAGTCACAATGAACTCAGCAAAGAGCTCTAGTCTATCCTGATCGGATTGTGCGGCCATTTCCCTCTCAATGAATTGTCTGTGACGTTCTATCGATTTTTGAGCAAACGAATCGCGATCCAGTGGCCTAGGCGTATGGATAGCCTTGCCTTCCGTTTGCCTATCTGATGTGTGTGATGTGTGCGACTTTGACCGATTCGCGGAACCTGCTTGACTGGTCAGGTCCCGTCCAGCGCTATCGATGTATCCGCTCAAGGGCGGGGTAGGAAGGGCCTTTGAGGGGAACGATGCCGGTGCTTTCTGAGCAGAACGACTAAGACTATCCATACCTGGCGAGAAAGGTGGTGTGGGCGCAATACCAGACACAGATCTCTGGTATACCTCCATGCGAGGAGTAGAATTCGACGAATCAGGATCCTCAAACACATGCCCACTTCTTGGTGATCGAAGTGCGCCGCCGCTTCGAGGAGTGCCCCTAGTCACAGCTCCACGTCGAGTCAGGCCACCTTCAGGTGTTCCTAGTTCCAGATTTGCAGGTTTGGTAGACTCTGCCTCCAAGTCATGTGCCCATGGGTTATTACTCGGCTCTGTGGCGCCACGCGCAGCACGACTCTCGCTCCTTCTTTCACGAATTCCGCGATTGCTCTGCTCACGTTGTGGCGTGCGATGAATGGTGCTTCCTGAATGCAGGCTGCTGTTGGTCGGGCCTGAGGACATCGACGCACTGCCATTATCCGAAAGTTGCGCAATCTGTTCATGTAACCCAGCTCCTTGGTTCCCAGTATCAAGATGCAGACCATGAGCCGCAGGAGACCTAGCACGAGCCTGGACAGGCTCATCTTGCCAGCCCAAAGGAGTTGGCGGTATAGGTCCCAACGTGCTCTGACCGGGCCTTCTAGTTGGTGGAGCGGATGGTCCACCGGGTCCTCGTATTGTGTCCTGGACAGGTCCCATACTCTGCGATCTTGAACTACTCGGTGGGGGACCGGGCGGAGGTGGGGGCAGAGGCGAAGATCGACTCCAGGTGCCTTGAGGACCAACCGGCGATTCATCAATAGGTGTTCTCGTCTCATAGCCGGGGACTCCAGCCGACGCTGCTCTTCGAGCCGTTGGTGCCCTCAAAGGAGATTGGCTCTCGGGACTATACCGTCGCTCTGTAAGTGCAGAAGGGACATAACTATATTCAGGTCAGCTTGTTGACATTCATTGATAGAAACTTCGCCTACTGTGAAGTAGCACGTTGCGCGATCAACCCAGGAGAGGCTGGTGCACGCATGATGGCATCTGAAGTGTTGATGTGCAGAGAGTCAATCGCACTTGGCGCAGGACTGTGCTCATTGTTGCGATTTCTAAACGATGACAAGCTAAACTTGGAGACGATCTTGTCTCGAGAAACCGATCTCCCTGGGCCATTCCTTGGGGGCGGTGGCGGAAACTGAGCATTCGAGTTTATGCTTGTAGCACTCGAGGGTATCACTATTGAACCAGGTCGACTGTGATAGCCAGAAATGGGCCGCGCCGATGAAGGAGTGCTCGTGGGTGGTATTGGCGGTGGAGGAGGATGATGCTGAGGGAATGCACCGCCAGACAAGTGTGGTGATGTGTGTTGACTATGCGAGCTATTTGGAGTCTGGCCTGGCGAGTAGGGAGGAGGTGGGGAAGGCATGGACGCTGAGGATATTTAGCATGGAATCTCAGATATGACCAGATGGGCCTCGATCATGTTCCATCCTACGGAAAAATACACGAGCCATCCAATGTAGCCTATCCACTGAAGGTGAACATGCAACTTCGAAAAAAGAGTATATACCTTCCATGCCCGTCACATCATGAAGACGAGACGGTACCGACGTCTGCGCATGCTGAACATGCTGGCCGCTCACCGGGCCCCCACGAGTCCATTGCTGTGGATTGTACGGAACAGAGGGCTGATTCCTCGCAGCCATGGGAGAAGGCGGAATGGAGTTGTTGGCATACGTCGACGGAGAATTGACAACGGCGAACGGCGAGAACGGGAGGCTTAGGCTCGAGGCAGCAGTGGCAGGCGTGTGCAACGACGAGCCATGCAGGTACGGGGTCCCTTGCGGAGGCGGTGGCGCGAGGGCGGTCGTGGTGAGGAGGGGCGGTTGCACGGCGAACGGCCTCAGCGGGGAGCGTTGGGGCGCGTGGAACTGCTGTTGCTGCTGCTGCTGTTGTTGTTGTTGCTGCGACTGCTGCGACTGCTGCTGCTGCTGGCCAGGCGGAGCAGGCGGCGGCGGTGGTTGCGGAGGCGGAGGAGGGAGAGGGGAGCGCGGCACGGCATGATCGAGTTGCTCTGAAGCCATATCCATAACGAGCAGAACCCAAAAAAGCACCCCAGCGGCTCCAGCGAGTCGCACCGGCGATAGAAGCGGGCGATTGAATGGGTCTGGGTGGACAGGAGGCGTGGGCGTTGCTGCACACTACGGTTTGGTCACCTCACACAACAAGGCGGCGGCCCACTGCAACAGGGCGACATGGACAATGGTGGGCTGTGGGTCCTGGCCGTCGAGGAGGCCGTCGAGTCCAAGGTGAAAGATGTACGCGAAGGGGTTGGCTTGTTCACAGTCACCGACTTGGGCCTGCTGTTGCTGGGCCATGCCATTCGCCCCGCCCCCCTTCTGCGCCCAGCATTGAGGGCGATCCGGGCCTGGGGATGGGACGTCTGGGGCAGTCTGATGCTGCACCGTTACCCTATCCAGCCTCGGGCCTCGACATCAGGCCGCCTAGCGAGGCTTGACTTTGCTTGACTGGCGAATGGCGGCCACCTCATGCGCCCTCTGACATAGCGCATATGCCGTATCCCTGCCTGCAGAGAAGTGTCGGCGGCTAAGTAAAGCAACGTTTGGATGCACCGCTCGCACCTCGAAGCCAAACCCCTTTGCGACGTCTCTGCAATATCAATCCCAGCCATACCTCCTACACTTCCCTCCCAGACGCGTTGGATTCCGGCCAGAATGCATTGTGACGAGCATTGTTGAGTTTGACATTGATGCCTATGGTACCGTTGTTGGTGTTGGCATTTGGCGTTGGCGAGGAGGCAAGAAGTTCGAGGAAAATAACCTAGGCGAGATAAAAATAGCAATATTTACACACACAGCACACACCACTTTCCATACTTGGCGAGGCGTGAACACCATCCTCTTCACACCACGGCTACTACCTACCTAATTGGAATCCTGTGTACAGAAAAGGTCAAAACTTCTGATTCGTGCAATCACGACTGTCTTAGCGGACTGGCGTCGTCCTAATTCAACACAGAGATGCTTCCACTGCTATATCCATATGCCCCTCATTCATGTCAAGTTACACCCAAGCTACCTACTACACGTGCTGATGTTGTGGGGCACACGTAGCAGTACGATACGGTGTATCTACCAGCACGAATAAACTCGTAGCACATGCAAGAACAATAACCCTTACCGGTACCCAGACAGCAATTGTCAATACAATCTCTAGAATCCCACCATTCACTCAACCCAATATCGCAACCAAACGTGCCCAAATCATATCCCACACTATCAACCACCTCATCAACACTCCCACCATCTCATCTCTCCCAAAACGGAACCCCCCAACCATCCATGCATACCGCATCCAGCCCACTCTCATCACCCTCGCTCACAGGGCGTTACCCGCAAAAGTCCGTGTTTAGCTACAGTAACATAAGCATCGTAAGCACACCCAGGCACCAGGTTTTTTCCTCGCCATGTCAGCATTACGGGAACAGCGGTAATGCGTTGTTGGGGGTAAAGTCGAAAGTTTGGAAGAAGGAAAAAAAATCCGAAAGTTTTTTACTTTGTTCGAAGATGGGATACACAAAAGTATTCTTGCTCTATTCTGTACGAAGATAATCGCTCCACTATGCTATGCGTGCCCATGCTACAGACCACAGCTATCCTGTACAAAACAAAACGCCACGCTCAAAATGACATCCCAAGCACACAGCCACGAAAGGTACACCAACAGCCCCTACTTCTTCTCCCCCTCCTTCTCAGCCGTAGGTTTCGGCTCTTCATCCTCTTCCTCCTTGTCCTCCTTCCCTTCCTTCTTCCTCACGCGCTCCGTCTTAAGCGCGTCTGCAACCTTCTCGTCCTTTTCTTCCTGCAGCTCGTCCCAATCGACATCGTATTCCATAGCCACCGCCTTGATCTCCTTGCGCAGGGTATTGCCGTCTTCAATCAGGGCCTCCCACTTGCGCAGGTCGAAGTTGTGCTGGGCGTAAAGTTTTTGCTGGCGCCGCGAGACGGTGAAATTCATGGCGGAGCGGTAGCTGACTTCGCGGTTGTGATAGAGGAACCACATGTAACCGCCTATGAGGGTGGACAGGCCGACAAGGTACTATGAAATCACTCAGCACATTCCTGCGTTTGATGAAGAGATGAAAAGGGATGAATTAAACCGCTTACCGTGACGGGCTCCATGACATCCCAGCCCAGTTCCGTTTGGAAAGTAAGGTAGTATACAATTCCCCACCAGCCCACGACACCAGCGAACCCAGCCTTTGCAACATTCTTTGCTGCTTTGTGAGCGAGCTCGTCGCACTTCTTCTTGATGTCGGCCATTTCGCTAATCTTCCTTGATGTCTTGCGCAGACGCATTCGCAGGTAGTAGGTCCGCTCGTTGAAACTGGGTACACCGACGCGAATCTCCTCTGGCGCCCCTTCAATCTCAATCGCAAATTCCTGCCCCCGCGCAGCGTCGCGAATGAAGTCGCCAATTTCAGTTGATGAAGACCACCGTACAAACTTGCGCTCTGCGCGCTTGTCTGACGGCGCTTCCTGGCCCAGTCCAGAGTAGGATTCTACACCTCCTTGGCCAGGCCCTCCCCGTAGCTTTTCAGCTTGCTCCGGTGTCCTGTCATCTTTACTGTTTAGTTTACCTGTCTTTTCTGTCTTTCCGTTGATACGAATCTCGTCGACCTTTTCAAAGTCCTCCTCGCCACTTTGATCTGCTATGCGTTCACTCGCCTGGCTGACGGTTGTTTCAGACGACGGTGAAGGCTGCGCGTCATTCTGCATAGAGTCTTCTGCACGGAAGAACACTTGTGGTTGGTGTTCTCGACCTTCTTTATCTTTTATACTGGGTAGCTCAGCTTGGATCAAACGCTCGAGGTATGATATTGGCTGTTGTGGATGGACGAGGAGAGCGAGCGGCTCGATATCTTTACGGTCGCTGTTGACATCCTGTGTGGTAAGGGGAAGGATTATCTTGAGCATGCGTGACGGCGTTGTGAGAAGTTTGCCTATGTTACCACTATCAGCCTTTGCCATTTGCACCGCTGGATGGTAAGCCTCACCCTTCGTCATCGCTCCAGCGCTTCTTTGTCGATGTACAGGCGGTACATCGCTACCTTCTCGATGCCATGGCGTTCGTATTTGTTTGCCCTTGTCCTCACGCAGCTTCTTTGCAAAATGGTCTTTCTCCTCCTGTGTAATGTTGTTATTCAGGTCCTCCGCAGGCCTGGCATTTGAATTATCGTATTCCCTAAATCTGTCGCTTTCACTCCACAATTTCAACGAGACCGCAAAACCTCGACATTGAGAAGGAATCTTCTGGCCGACACGCAGTGATGTGTGAAGCAAAGGCTTGTGGTGTAATCGTGCGCTTTGAGCTGCTCTGTATGTTGAAACGTGCGGGAGTGCTACAAGAGCAGACAGTCGGTGCTTCATAACTTCACTGGATCACTGGGGCAGGGAGTGCCTCGAGATCCCAGGAAGCCGGGTGTTATGGGCCGCGAGAAAGATACAACGGAGTACTAAGCCTCCCGCTGGACGTTGGAGCTACAAGACTGTAGCTATCATGGCGACAAGCAGGGTGCCAGGTCCCCAAGCGCGCACCTACGTCATCGTGAACTCGGATTTCCTTTACCAGTACCTCCGCTGTGCACCCCCACGCTTGGACGTTACCATCGCCCAGCTAATTGTTACTTGCCTTGACTGTCCTCAGGATACGATCTTAAATTTCATAGATTATCCAAATCACTTAAATGGTATTAGTTTCATCGTCCAGCGATCCAGCAGCCAAATGGGCTGACAGGAACGCATGGTCGCCTTGTTGGTTCCCAGCAGTGTCACAATTCGATATGGAGATGCAACAATATTATAGGTTATTCCCTGCTTTAATATCTTGCAGAATACCGACCACGAGGCTGAGAAGTTAGTCACCCGATGTAGACATAATCAATTAGTAAGACATCTTAACAGAACCATCTCGGCATAACATTCGGCACGAAGAAGGACCTTATTTCTACATCACATCGCAGACATAGCTGACACCATAGTGATATATCCACATATTCATATTTATGTACAGCAGCGACACTGCTCTGTGCTCCCCAAATCAAGAGGCAAAAAAGTATATACATGAAGACAAGGACCGTTTCATAGTCTCTTGATAGAGATTTGATCCTCATTCTAGAACTGTCAAGGAACAGCGTCTAGCATCCGCTGGTCTTGATGCCACTGGTAGCGCAAGTCTTGCCATCAGGTGCAGATGCGGTCTTGGTTGGCTCGCCACTGGTAACACCCTTGAAAAGTTCGCAGATCTTGGTGTCGAGCAGACAGGAGTTGTTGATGTTGGTGGTGTCTGTTCTTTGTGTCAGCTGGCCCCTTTGTACTTTTATATAGAAGATGGCATTTACCTCCATAGTTGCCGTTCACACCGGCAACAAGCTTGCCAGACTTAATCTTTATGTTGTCGAATGTGCTCTTGCGGCCATGCTGTGTCTTGCAGTTTCCACAGCTGCGGTAGAGCTTTCCGATGTTCTCGGCGTAGAAGTTCTTGACGGCCAGTGTGCCTGCGCCGTTGTGTTGGAATACCTTGTCGTCTGCGCCCTTGGCTCCACCTCCGTTGATGAAGGAGGTGCCGGAGCCTTGCTTGAATGTTGCGGCGTCTTCGCAGACGTCCACCCACCAGACTGTGAGATACCGAGTCAGCAAGAAGATTACATTGGATTGATCATTAGACAGAGTCCTACCGTTGTTCAGAGTGCAGGATCCACGGCAATGGACACCTTCTCCGTTGTTTGGTCCAATAATCACGTTCGAGAGGACGGCACCGTTCTCGAGGATGAATACAGCGGCTGCCTCGCCCGTCTCGTCCTGTCCACTGCAGGTGTTGGCTATACCGTGTTAGTAGATTTTCGGAAGATCCGTCGACAGTTGACGAAAAGGACATACAGCTACGGTCCCATTGCTTCAGTTCACCGTCAAAGTTTGCATTTGCGGCAATAGTCCTCGCGGCAGGTAGGTTGGTGGTACCTGATGCCTTGGGGAAGGTGGTTTGCAGGGCAGTGTTGGTGACAGCGCGAGGCTGGTGTGGGTGCCTAACCTCAGCCACTGCGAGGCCTGCGAGAGCAGCTACAAGCATAGAGGAGCCGTGCATGATGAAAGAGGGTTATGAGGTAGTTGATAATTGGCACTGTTGATACTGCAATGGAAAGTGGTCGCTGATGAAGATACAACTTCCTAGCACTCGCCGTCGTCCTTTTATACATACTCTTCGACGCATTCCATCAACTATTGCCAACGGAAGATTTGCGAATTCCCTAGCCTGATGATGGTAAATTTTCCGCGTCTAAATGGTTTGCTAGTCACCACTCTGGTACGCAGCATCTTCAAGAGCCACATTTGGCAATCGTTGCCCTGCTGATCACACCAAGAATGTCATACATTGCCCGATTCCATTAGCCAAGCAATATAAATCTAAGCTTATTGTGTTGATGTCTAGGGGAAACCGATCGCTGTTGGACCACATGTGTGGGGAATTCTGGGGTATGAAAGATAACTTTTGGCTTGGAGGGATGTTCATTGGAGGAACATTGGTGCAATGGTTTCAGACTCATATCCCATGCAATGCAGAGCCCCTTTCGACGGGATGCGGGGCCGGAAGGAAACCATGAGGTTTCTCTCCGCTCAAGTTAAGCTTTCTGGGGGCTTGCGTGAGAGGTGGGGTTTAAGAGGCAGAAGTGGTATTCAGCTTGTCCATAGCTGTTGTCGCTATACGGTATCCTGCTGTTGGCGGGGATAATCATTCAGGCCAGCGGCGGCACCCTTGGTGTTTCCACATTCTATTCGGTGATTCTCTTGCTGCTTCATCAAGCGACATCAAAGGGTTTGTATACATGCTTCGACACAATGGATCAGGTACCATGTGATGACAACATGGTAGTCAAGATGCGAGCACATTTATCGTGAAACCCGATCCAAGGTCATGCGTTAGCGCGCCCAGGATTGCACGACAGAACGACGAGCCGGAGAATTTGCACGACAGAGATGCAGGCCACGACCGCGGTGCTTGGCATGTGGATACCAGCTACAGACTTCCGAATACGCACGATCTCAGAGTCATACGCGATGAAAACGAGCGAATGCACCATGTCCGTATACATCAGCGGAGTTGCGATGCTGTACCCTTCGACGGTCCTATTGTGAGAGAATGATGTATCGTTTGATCGATCATTAATGTATCAACCGAGGTATCTTGCTTGGAAGCCAAGAAGCAGTGCCGCCCAATGAGTGTTCTTGCGTGTTGCGACATGCTTTGCTTGATAAAGTTTGCCCTCAAGTGCGGTTCAGCCTTTTCCTTGTTCGCTCTCGCGAGGCTAACTTAGTGTGGTTGTCGCACATTAGCGTTGGTGGAGACAGCAACATGGATACCTAAGGGTAATGCGGGGATTGAGATACTGAGAATCCGTTACCAAGGCACACCAGTTGATTCAGTATCGCTGTCACAGTATGGCTGACGACAACATGAGTCGGGCGCTTCGAAACGTGTAGCATCGCAGTCTATCGCCATCGATTGGTACACCAACCACAGCGCCACAACATAGACAGCCTACACATCAATTGGTGCGAAAACATGCATCGCTTCTGTCACTCGAAGCATGGCATACCCTACTAAGCAGGTGCCTTCGCCACCCATAGCAGCAATAGATTGAGACCTTCTTTCAAACATATTGAATCGTTCGCGAATTGGACTCTCCGAGTAGTCCCGATGGCAAACCTTTCAACAATGGTCGTCCTAGACTACCTCATGCGCTCGGGCAGTCCAGGAGTCACGTGTTTTGCCACAGCGTCCTACGGTGGTATTAAGCGTGGCGAGAAAGGGAGAGAGACAGAGAACGCAGAGCTGCTATGTAGGCTATACCTACAGGAGTCTTTTTATAAATATATGTGCCGTAGGTACTAGGCAAGATAAGTAGGTAGCTGTTTTGAATATTGTAGTCTACCCAAGACCTTAATAATAAAGGGTAACAATAGTAGAGCGCGTCTAGAGGCATCTTAAGCTTAAAGACCGCTGCCAAAATCGATAGATTGTGTGGTTTAGGATGCTTCGTTTCGCCACATTGGGTCCAATCACATGACTCCTGGACTAGGCGGCATAACTTTAGTAGAGCAAAAAAAGGCTTGTCCGCGGCTGCCACCGGGAACGCCGTTGGAAACTTCCGAGTCCCGACATTCTGCCGACATCTACTACCGGTACCGTTCTTGTCGAACTGTGAATCGTAATCGCGTCATTGGTCCCACATCGAAACTGGTATGGAGTTTTCGTCTTGACTCACTCTCTTTTGGGGCTGAAGTGAGAAGCTTCAGCAGACTTCCATAGCATTGCCTACGTCTGATGGTGCCCACTTGCTGAGAAACACAAACTTAAAAATCTAAGATACCACAGGGAGGCGCGGCTTTATCCCTGGCTTGTACTGCTTGTATAGTGTCAGGCCAAAGACTGCTTTTAAAAGAGGATTTCCTGCTTTTGTCAAGATTAGCAATATTGGCAAGACAAACCACATAGATCTCTTGGAGCTGTCGGTGAAGACATCGCGCAAGGCCAACTGCGGTAAGTCCTTGTCGTGTTTTGTGCCACGTACTGGCATACTCGATGGTTGCGACTATCGATGCTTTTCAGACAAAAACTCTGTGTGTGAGACCGCGAATGAAATGGGCGTCACATGCGTGACCTCGACTCTCGATTCCCTCGACCACGGACGATCAGTAGATGACTTTGATTGAAGGTTGAAATGACAAAAAGAAAATATTTGTAGATGAGAGGACGTGTTGTGGAATTGAGAAGACGCCGCTGACAAAGTATCGAAGAAACAGTCTACTTTTGTCAGGTAGCTTGAATGTCTCAGGTTGTCTCTTATGACCTTTTGGGAACTTTCCTTTTCGCTGTCTCAATACGGCTGGTCGTGCATGATGCATCCCATCATACTTTCAAGCTAGGCGGGTCTGCAGGATCTAATGCGTTACACAAAATTACAGTGCGGGCGCACGACAGGCAGTCGCAGGATCGTCTCAACAGTGATCAGAATGGTACCCATCCTTGATACCAGGTATGAGGTCGATTTTGTCGAACAATCCCTCTTGTAGTACGCTCGACCAGCATGATGGAATCTAGGAAACGTCACCCTAGCATATACGTGTACTATGGTAACAGTCTGGTAGGGTCAGTCGCGGTCCCGGTAGCCATCGGGCCGGAATACGAAAGGTTGGAAGCGAATCCACGCCGCGCCGAGCGCGTTTCCGAATCAGATTGCGATATGGCTCGAAATAGAAGTTGCAGAAAAGGTTGATCGTCCACTGGACCAGGTAAATGGGTATCTGGAGTAGGATACAAAGAGGCGGGTTACACAAGATCATGGCATCTTGGTAACGCAAGGTGGGCCCTTTGACGTCCTGGTTACCCAAGGAAGTTCGCCCTGCCTCAGAGGGTGAATCAAGCCTGGATTCGGGGAGAGAAGATAAAGACAGGAGGAGCCTCGACTTTGTTCTTATTTTCAAGGGTTGCTTTTGGAGAATGTGAGGCGACCCGCCGTACTGTAGGGAAATGGCACGGAACATTCCTAGGGTTTTTACTAGACTCCTGGAGATTGCCTTTTCCAACTTTGCTTGCAACGAACTTGGGGGTGACGGTATAATGCTGAGGCAGCTGAGACCTATCAGTGCAGGAAGGGTTGGCCTCCCTTGCAATGGTGAGGAGAAGTTGCAGAAGAAAGTTCGACAAAGCAACGCCACAACCCTTTCCACTCTCTGTACATCTCATGGCCTTGCGCCACCACGGCTCGATGCATGCGAAAGCACAGTAAATGCCTTCTCTACTCTACTCTGTCAGTCTGTACTCTGCATCTGTGGGGTATCACTCAGGTTCGGCTTTACCCAACGTGGACCGCTCTCCGTCAAACGGTGTCGCTCACACCCACTTATCACGGCTAGCTTCCGCGTTCAAGAGTCTGACCAAATTGTATTTGCAATCCGACGACGGTTGTCAGACGCTGCCACCGGCTGCGATGCGCTGATTGAAGCCATCCATGCCCAGTAGCCACGGTTGATAACCATGGCTTGATCAGAGATGGAACATGATAGATAGATAGGGCGCAGGTCGCGGGCGGACTTGGCCGGCCTCCGTGTCGTGGGCTTGCTTCTGTGAGAAGCGAGATCAGCAAGTGAGAAAGCGAAAGCCACGATCCGATTACAGAGGGCAGGTCACAGCAGCAACAACAACAACAACAACAACAACAACAACAAGCGTCCTGCAGTCACCCGTTTGTCGCGCCAAACGAGCATCCGCCTGTTTGCCTGCTCGCCCATTCGCCCCTTGACGGGCAGGCAACAAGCAAGCTGGCCGAGAGAAAGTGTGTTGTGCGGGCGCGCTCGCGTGAAAGCCCAGCGACGCCATGGTCAGTAGGAAGTACGAAAAGGTGAGTCCTAGACCAAAAGGCTGATCGCCACTACATGGGACCCAAGGCAGGATTGGATAGGGCTAGGATGGCGCGACAGGGCCTGGCCGTTTGGCGCAACTGGAACTGATAAGGTGATGCACTGCACTCGGCAAGGCCCTAGGAGAAAACGGGTGTGAAATTCAGTTTTGTTGCCAGTCCGCGTTTAAGAAGAAGCCTGCATCCGTCACCCCAGTGCCTGTCTGGCCACCGAGCACTTCTCCCTCCTCTCGGAAAACCCACCCTCATCGCCGCGGGACGCCCTCTGTGTGCGAATTCGATTGCAGCCGCAGCTTGCATCGACCTCGGCCAAGCTCGCCCACCATGGCCAGCTTCATTCACAAGACCAACTCTGCCATCGCGCGCTCCTTTGTGGGCAGGTACTTTCGCCTTGATGGCTCAGGTCACGTACGCAGAGTCCTATACCAGAATACTACCCTGCATTTTCCTAACATGATTGTAGCCCAAAGAGCGCAAGGGCAGCTACTTCTTCACCGAGTTCCGCGCGGGAATGGCTACCTTCTTTGCCATGGCCTACATCATCTCCGTCAACTGTGAGCATGCACATGCAATGTCTGGCTGGCCATGGAGTCACCCATACTAATGATTCATAGCCTCGATCGTGGCTGATAGTGGAGGCACTTGTGTCTGCCCTCCTGAGAACACCGACTTCTGTGCGACGGACCCCGAGTATGCCTTGTGCGTCCAGCTCGTCCAACGAGATCTGGTCACGGCCACTGCTGCCATCTCTGCCCTGACGTCCTTTTGTATGGGTCTGTTCGCCAATCTGCCTATCGCTCTCGCTCCTGGAATGGGTCTCAACGCCTACTTTGCCTACACAGTCGTTGGCTTCCACGGCTCCGGTATGGTTCCCTACGAAGTTGCACTCACTGCCGTCTTTGTTGAAGGTTGGGTTTTCGTTGCCCTAACCCTTCTTGGTATTCGCCAATGGCTTGCTAGGTATGCCCCCATTTACCATTTAGCGCCTAGTAGATGCTGACTTTCCTCATAGGGCCATTCCCGCCAGCATCAAACTTGCGACTGGTGTTGGCATCGGTCTCTATCTTACCATTATCGGTCTTGCGTATTCCGCTGGAATTGGTGTCATTTCTGGAGCCGTTGCCACCCCCTTGGAACTCGCAGGTTGCGAGCAGCAATACATCGACCCGGAAACCCACGCTTGCCCTGGAGCCTACAAGATGAGAAATCCGACCATGTGGATCGGCATCTTCTGTGGTGGTTTGCTCACTGTCATGTTGATGCTCTACCGCGTCAAGGGCGCCATCATCTTTGGTATTCTTCTCGTCTCCATCATCTCCTGGCCCCGCCCTACCAGTGTCACGTACTTTCCCTACACACCGCTCGGCAACTCTGCTTTTGATTTCTTCAAAAAGGTCGTTACCTTCCATCCGATTACCAAAGTTCTGGCTGTGCAAGAGTGGAACATCTCCGAATACAAGGGTCAATGGGGTCTGGCCTTCATCACCTTCCTTTATGTTGATATTCTGGACTGCACGGGTACCCTTTACTCCATGGCTCGCTTCTGCGGTGTCATCGACGAGCGCACGCAGGATTTCGAAAATTCATCCATCGCCTACAGCGTCGATGCTATTGGCATTTCGATTGGATCACTCATGGGTTGCCCACCGGTTACTGCCTACATAGAGTCCGGTGCTGGTATCTCAGAGGGTGGCAAGACTGGTCTGACCGCCATGTTCACTGGCCTTGGGTTTTTTGTCGCTATCTTCTTCGCGCCCATTTTCGCTTCGATTCCTCCATGGGCCACTGGATGTACCTTGATCATCGTCGGTTCCTTGATGGCCCAGGCGGCAAAGGACATCAACTGGCGCTATATGGGTGATGCGATTCCGGCTTTCCTTACGATTGCCATTATGCCCTTCACATATTCTATCGCGTACGGTCTCATTGCCGGTATCTGCTCATACATTTTCATCAACACCGTTGTCTGGCTACTCGAGAAGGCATCGGGTGGCCGCATTACTCCTCCCAACAAGGCGGAGAAGGAGCCATGGACGTGGCGTATTCCTGGAGGCATTGCGCCACCCTGGATGAAGCGCGTCGCCAGCGGAAAGAAAGACTTTTGGCGGTCAAACGACGAGCACGATGGCATCTCTGCTGGACCCAGGAGCGAGGAAAGCTCGACTCATGGCGGCCACGAGAAGGAGTACGTTTCAGATGGCAAGCAGGCATAGAAGACTGTCTCTGTCTCTGGCTTGTATAATTTCTGGCGTTTTGACATTTGGAAAGACGGGCTAGATTCTGTCGTGACATTTGTCTCTGGATAGCGGGGCTTGATCCACGTCGATGATATTGGACTTGGGATCACCGATGTGGCCACGGAGTTTTGACATGTTTGCTCGATATACCCTCCCTTGAGTTTGGTTCGATCCAGAGGACAGCCACAAATTCATCATCTAATCATTCATCCCGCTAATTTGCAGTTGACTTTGGCAAGAACTCATCATGTGCAGACCACGTAAACCTTCTCCTTTGATTATTTTGATTAGTAAATTGGTAATCTCACTCTAGGCCATATTCTAGTCCCCGCCACTAGCCATGCAGTAACATACCAGAGGCACAAAATAGTCCAGTTCCAGCATGCACGCGACCACCACCTAGGCAGCACAAGTAGTCGGTTGAGGTTCGCATGCCCAGGCGTTACAGACTTGGCTACGGTATCTTGGGATATGTACTATGAGCACCATGTATCAAGGCATGGAACGGTGAAGAACACGTGCCATCCGAACGGACACCCGGAGGCCGGAGGGTCAGATAGCGGCAAAGCAGGGGTCCAAAAAAGACCCGCCGATTGGGCCGAGGCAGTCACACCCCACCAACAGAAACAGCCCATGGCTCGGCTCGATCGGAGGGCCAAGGGAGGGAGGGGCGGTTCCGTATATGACTTGACTTGTCCTGCATCATTCACTGACCTCAATCTTGAACGCTTTCTGTAGCTTTCTGTAGCTTTCACATGATCCAATTGCTAACCCCAGCTATTCCACTATCCTACACAATTCGCTTCGCCTGAGTCCCCTTTTCGCACCGCTCAGCTGCACATTACGGAGCAAAGCGGGAATTTTGCAAGCGGCGGGATCCATCGTATTTCACGGCTTACGAAAGCAAACAAAGCTAGAGGAACCTTTTTTGGGCTTGGGGAAGAGGTTCGTCGACGACAAAGGGAGGTTTTTCTGTTACCGTCTCTTTCCTTCTCTGGCGTAGTGTAGTGATTGAAGAGAAGGAGATTTTTTTTTCTTTCTTTCCTTGGTGCGACTGAGAAGATACGAGTCACTGGACACACAGCCAGCGACGCTTTTCTTATTACTACCATTGCCCAGCATGCCCGCCGAACTCAATGGGCTGCCTACCGATGCCAAAGAGGGCGTGAATGGCCATAAACATAGCCTCTCAGACTCGACTCCCGCAAACCCAGCATTCGACTCGATAGCAGATGTCATAAAAGCGTTTGGTACGTGTATAAATACCCACACTGTTTCGTCTCACCCTACTCCCCTCCCCTCTCGCATTCCGCTCTTTCTCTTCCCCTCTTCTGAAGATACACACGAGATCTCCACTAACCTCCTAATCACCAGCAAACGACGAATTCGTAATCGTGCTTGACGACCCCTCTCGCGAAAATGAAGGCGACCTCATCATCGCAGCCTCAGCCCTCACCCCCGCAAAAGCCTCCTTCATGATCCGCTACTCCTCAGGCTACATCTGCGCGCCCCTACCCGTCTCCCGCGCCGCCGCCCTCCACCTCCCCCAAATGGTGACGGAGAACACAGACCCCAACCGCACCGCCTACGCCATCTCCATCGACGCAAACGACCCGTCCACGACCACCGGCATCTCCGCCACCGACCGCGCCCTCACCTGCCGCATGCTCGCCGACCCCAACGCCAAGGCTGCCGATTTCCGCAGACCAGGCCACATTTTGCCCCTGCAGGCTCGCGACGGCGGCGTGCGCGAGCGCAAGGGCCATACCGAGGCTGCGGTGGATTTGTGCAGGTTGGCGGGCAAACAGCCCGTCGGCGTGATTTGCGAGCTCGTCACCGACGGCCAGGAGATTGTCCAGGGCCGGCCGGAGTTGACGGGTGGCGGGATGATGAGGCGAGATGAGTGTCTGGCGTTTGGCAAGAGGTGGGGGATCAAGGTGTGTACGATTGAGGACTTGTGCACGTATATTGTCGAGACGGAGGGTGGGTTGAAGAAGTAGTGCTTCGCTTGAGTTTGGGGGGGTTGGCGTGTGGAGACTTGAGAGAGGCAGAGACGCAGGGAGGGAGGGAAAAGAGCGTCGGTATGGGAGGGCAAGAAATACCCACACGTTGTGTCCAAGTTGTTGCTCCCAGCTCACCCATTACTTTGAATCAAAACCCCTGGCACAAAAATACCAATCAGACGATTGGAATCAAGCAGAAGCGTTTTGTTTCAACCGTGAAGAACACAACAGTGAACCAAACAAAGTGGTAACGTGTAAATCTGGGTATATCTACATGAATTCGTGGGGCCCCGTAAAGACTGAGCCAAAGTTTCAAAAAAAAACCGCCTGGTCTTTAATAACCTTTCTGCTGGTATGCTATCCCCTTTCCTCTCTCTCTCCGCCCTTTCCACATCCAAACACCCCTTGTAAACCTCTGGACAAGCAAGTTTTTTCTGTCACTCACTCACTCATCCACACAGCCACCCATCACCCTCGTAACAAACCCTCTTCTTACGACGCAAAAATGCGAACATTGAGATCAACACAGCCGGTTGCTATAACACAGCGTATGCCCGCCTTGGCAGTCTCCTCTTCCTTCTTCTTCGCAACACCGTTGGCCGCCCCATTCGGCGCGTCTCCATTCACGGGTACGTCTTTGACCACGTTGGGCGCCCAGCGCATGCAGCTCACAAAATGGCCGTGAGCATCTTGCACTGTCTTGACGCACCGACCCTCTTGCGTGAGATCCCAGCATCGAATCGTCTTGTCGTCGCTGGCGGAGAGGAGGTACTTGCCACCCGGATGGAATACGAGGGCGCGCACCCAATTGTCGTGGCCCATGAGCGTCTTGATCAGTGTTCCTCGACCATCCCAAATCTTGATCGACTTATCTCTTGACCCAGTGGCAATGAATTCTGCAGAGCTGCTGAGCGGTGGCGGCTTCTTGAGTCCGGCTAGGCTGGCCAGGTTGGCGTAGCTGACGGGTGGTGCTATCGTCACACATTCGATGACATGTTCGTGGCCGAGAAAGGTGCATTTCGCTTCTCCTGAGCTGGCGTCCCACAGTCGGGCGGTTTGGTCGTTGCCTGCGGAAACGAGCCATCGTCCGTCGAAGCTGGGGGCCACGTCCCGTACCCAGTCTGCGTGCCCTCGGATCGTCTTCACGCAGTACCCCGTTGTGACGTCCCATATCCGCAGGGTCTTGTCTCGAGAAGCAGAGACAAGGAGGTTGCCAGAGGAAGGCGAACCTGCTGCTCCGCTAGGGATAAAGCGGATGGCCGAGACGGAGTGGTCGTGGCCGGGTAGCGTTCGTATGTTTTTGTATTCATCCGATGGATCCCATAACTTGATGGTCAGATCACTGGAGCACGAAGCTAAAAGTGTGCCACCTCTTGGGCCACCAAAATCCACGTCGAGCACACCCTTGGTATGTCCTTTGACTGTTCGCTCCAGCTCACCCAGCTCCCAATCCCATATTTTGATGGTAGTGTCTTCAGACCCCGAGGCCAGTGAGGAGAAAACGGGATGAAATGCGACGCAGGTGATAGGCTGACGATGCGATTGGAGCGTGTGGCGGGCGGGTGCTCGAGGCAGCCAGGCGGTCGGGTCTTGGTTTTTCCGTAGAAGTGAAGTCGGTGTGTTGGAGTCGAGTTCGCTTTGCAAGCTGGCGTTGCGCTGCTCCAGGTCCAGAATCTGGGAAGATGAATGAGTATGTGTATGCTGTGCAGGTGCAGACGTCTGGCATGTTGACTACCTTCTTCTGCAGCCGGACAACACTGGTCCACTTCTTCTCCAGAATGCCCTCGTACTTTTTCCGCGTCGCCTCGTCGAAGCTGGCGGGGATGTTGGCTTCTTCCCGAAAGGCCTCGGCGGCCCTGGGCGCATTGATGACGCCCAAGTAGGCTATTATCGACTTGTGTCTGCCCTGCCCGTTAGCGTCCTTCTTTTTTTTTCACATGTCGGGCTGCTGGCAAAAGCTCACAGCTCTTCGGCTTGCCGGTCTGTCAGCAGCAACGACGAGCTCATGGCGACTTGTTGCTCCTGGCCCAACGCCGCAATTGCCACCATGCACTGTGGGCTGTGGTGCCGGCACTCAACGTGGCATGTGCGGTCTGTCTATAGGATTGGCGATTGATCGGACCGACTCGTTGTGTGTTTTGGAGGCGGAGTGGGGTGTGCCAGTGGGTGTGGTGTAGGTGAGGGGGGGGGGGGCGGCGGGCGAGGTTTGTGGTGGAGAGAGTTGTGTGTGGATGTGGATGAATGGGGGCAGCGAGAGTGAATTGAGAGGCGGCGGCGGTGAGTAGAGAGCGAGCGGGTGTGTTTAGCTTGTTAGCAATGCGGGGGAAGGGGAATTGGGAAGGGTTGTTTCTTGCGGTGGGCTGGGGCTGGCTGGGCTGGCCCGCTGGCGTAAGGCGTCTTGGTCTGGCGTCGTTAGGTATTCCATGTCAGGAATCGAATGGTGGGTGGATGCAGGGATTCTGCTGTCACCCTGGCGATAGCGGCTGCCCGACATGCCAAAACAACCCGCCCGCTTTTTGCAACACCACGGTAGGAACAAACGTCGACGCCACTACACTCACTGCGTCCCCCCACGCTTGTCGCTGTCTTCTCACAAACCCCCAATTACCAAGCCTTCTCGTCATCATCGCCAGCCTTAGACAGAGCACGCAACTGACTCTGCTGCGACCACTCTCCCCTCCCCATACCAGCAGTAGTAGTAGTAGTAGTAGCAGCAGCAGCAACAGCGCCGCACACCCCGCTACCATCGCACGTCACATCAATCACATCATCACATCATGGCGGATGCAGAGGAAGACTTTAGCAGCCTTCCCCTGCCTGATCGCTTCGTCCACAAGAACTGGAAAGTCAGGAAGGAAGGATACGAGGCCGCTGCCAAAGAATTCTCGCTCGCCGTGAGCGAGTCAGATGCTGTTGTGCGCCAGTTCATCAACGATGCGAGCATATGGAAGGGCGTTGTAGGCGACTCCAACGTCGCAGCACAACAAGAGGGCCTGAGCGCATTATGCGCCTTCCTTGAAGTTGCTGGACAGGCAGGATGCACGCGGTAAGAGCTTCGCATTGGGTCTCGTGAGCTTCGTCGCTGATACACCACGCTCCAGAACGCGGGGCAACACCATCACAATAATCGCCGAGAAGGGCTTGCCCTCGACACGACCGGCGGCCAAGGCAAAGGCACTCGAGGCCCTGCTGCTATACATCGAAACCGACAAGCCCGATCCAGTCATCGAAGAACTCCTACCCGTACTCTCTAACAAGCAGCCCAAAGTCATCGCAGCAACATTAGATGCACTGACGCAAATATACCACGCCTACGGATGCAAAACGATAGAACCTAAGCCTGTCCTGAAATTACTTCCCAAGGTCTACGGCCATGCAGACAAGAATGTGCGCGCAAAGGCGCAGGAGCTCACAGTCGAATTGTACCGATGGCTGAAAGAGGCTATGAAGCCCCTCTTCTGGGGCGATCTGAAACCAGTGCAGCAACAGGATCTCGACAAGCTGTTCGAGAAAGTCAAAGATGAGCCACCGCCAAAGCAAGAACGTCTGCTTCGATCACAGCAAGCCGCCAAGGAAGCCGCACCAGCTGCCGGGGGCGGAGAGGAAGAGGAAGAGGACGAGGAAGAAGCCGCGATCGATCTCGAGCCAGAATTTGAGGCTGTCGACGTTTTCCCCAAGATCCCCAAAGATTTTTCAGAGAAGCTGGCGTCAAGTAAATGGAAAGACCGAAAAGAGGCTTTGGACGAGACCCACAAAGCCCTGAACCATCCACGGATTGCAGAAGGACCATTCGATGAGCTAGTACGCGGCTTCGCCAAATCGATGAAAGATGCCAACATCGCTTGTGTGGCAACAGCTGCCAATTGTGTTGAACTCCTGGCAAAGGGCCTTAAGAAGGGCTTCAACAAATACCGTAAAGACATCATGAATGCAATGATGGAACGGCTAAAGGAGAAGAAACAGTCCGTCACCGATGCCATAGGCGCTGCGCTTGATGCTGCTTTTGCCTCTACCACCTTTGCGGATTGTCTGGAGGAGATACTCGAGTTTTTGAAGCACAAAAACCCCCAGGTCAAGCTTGAGTCGTCACGTTTCCTCATACGGTGCTTGAAGAGCACACGTGATGCCCCTACACCAGAACAAGCCAAGGGAATAGCTGAAGTATCCACCAAGCTACTAACCGAATCGCAAGAGGTGCAACGATCTGCTGGTGCTGAGGTCCTGGGAACACTATGGAAGATCATGGGAGATCGCGTCATGAATGCACATCTCGATGGACTTGATGAGATCCGCAAGACCAAGATCAAAGAATACTTTGATGCTGCAGAGGTCAAAACTAAGTACAAGCCAAAGGCGGCCGCGCCACCCAAAGCTGCTGCTCCTCCCCCAGCAGCTGCGAAGAAGGTTTTCAACAAACGACCAGCCGGGCCGGGTGCGAAGAAACCTGCACCCAAAGCTGCAGCTCCACCACCACCGCCACCACCAGCCGAAGAGCCTCTAGCACCAGTACCAACATCACGTCCAGCTGCTTCCAAGTTGGGGGCGCCCAAATCTGGTCTGGCTGGACCTAGACTAGGCGGTTTGAAGAAGCCAGGTTCAGGACTTGCTGCTCCTTCACCGAGACGTTCGGTAGTATCACCACCTCCGGAGGAAGAAGAAGTTGCGCCACCACCACAACCAAAGTTTGGGGCTGGACGAGGTCTTGCTGGACGTCCTCTCGGTAAGCCTGCTGTCGAAGCTCCGACACCAGCGCCTACACAAGCACCCTCTGGGCTCAGCCTGGTTGAGCGTGCGGAACTCGATGAGCTTCGCGCGGAGGTTGAACGAGTCAGACGGCAAAATGAGGAACTACGAGCAGAACGATCAAAACTTACGTCGCAGATTTATGAGCTGCAGAACCAAAACGCCCAGCTCATCGAGGATCACACCCGCGACGTGCTGTCCATCAAGGCAAAGGAGACACAGCTCGTACGCGCCCGCTCAGATTTCGAAGCTGCGGAGCAAACAGTTCAGAACCAACGACGAGAGGTCGACCGCCTCAAACGCGAATTGCATCGCCAAGTTCGTGCTCCGTCTCCCACGAATACTGACCTATCGGAACAAATATACAGTGACGACGTCGCCCATCATGCGAACGGTGCACGGAATACCGATTCAGGGTATGGCGGTCATGGGCTGTATGCTAGGAGAGAGCGGAGCTTTGCCGGTGCGCCAGCTAGCCCAGGTGGTGAGGGTAAGATGAACTTTGATTCTCTATCCCGCCCAGGTAGCAATTTGAGTGGAAAGCTAAGTCCTCGTCGCACAGATGCCTCTGCTAAATCATCGATGTCTTCACGAGGCAATGGCCAGACAAGTCCCACGGAAAATGGCACAAGTCGACTCGGAGGTCCGCAATCATCCGGCGCATCTGGTGCAGAGAGTTGGAAGCGTGCTGCCGAAGTCACACAAAATCTGAAGCAAAGAATTGAAATGATGAAGGTAAATCAGGTTTCCGCTCGCATACTATGGATTCTAGCTAACTCAATTCCAGGCCAAACAAGGGATTGGACGACCACCACCGCAGTAAGCACTGGGGCTTTCGCATTTGCCTTGGCATGTGGCGTCAATATACACACTGAGGCTTTCCACATTCACCCGCTTTCATTATCTCGACGCTGCTCACCTAGACACCAAACAGCTCTTTGCAGCTTGTTGCATATCTAGCATTCCAAAACGCTTTATGTGTGCATCTTTATCTGTAGGCATCTCCATGGCGTTTGGCTTGGCGGGCATGTCACCACGGTGTTGGTGACTGGGGACGGCAAGGACCGAACCGAACTGGGGGCTGGTGCGGCTTTGCATACACCCTGTTTGGGCTTTTTCTTTCCGGACCAAGAAGGCAAAACGGTCCAGAGCATAGTTTCCTTTGCGAGATTCCCCCCTGTTTTTATTTTTCTCATACTTCCGTGTTCCTGTACGCTTTGCTTGAAAAGAAAAGCTTTTGCCTTTTCAGTGGAGTCGAAGTTGCGTGTAGGGGACTGAGGAAGAACGGAATTGTGTTGTGTTTGTTGTGCGAGTAGTAGTTTTCCGAGCCTTGCATGGTCTAGCTCAGTCCACTATTCACGCTTATGTAGAGATGAGTCTGACCCAAGCGCGATTCTTCGTTTTGAATGATTAAAGTTTGTTTACTCGTCTTGGTCGAAACTCGGTCTTGTCTGTGATGTTCTTCGTTGCTGTTGCTTGTCGTGCTGTCTGTCTAGGTATGGAGTCAGTGCTTGGTTTGGCGGCCAGGACGATGGTTGGATTTTTTGTTTAGGTTCTATGGGGGAGATGGGTAGGGTAAAGTAGGGTAGGGTAGGGTGGACGTGCAAGACGCTCTTTTTTGGGGAGGGCGCCGGTGTGTCGTTTTGTGAGGGCTGTATACTGCAGATTTATAGTGTTTGAATGTGTGTTATCTGGATGCTGTATTACTGCTTTTTCATTCTGATTATGCAGTGCCTGTCCTTAACACTGAGATGAGTATTCTTTTACATGGAAATCATGTTGCCTCAAGAGTAAACCCAAAGATGCGCGATCTTTGACAAACCACAACTTAATATTGTTTTACTTGTATTCTTGTCTAAGTCTATTGCATTACTGGTTTCTCATTCAAACGCCTGGAGGTTTGATGCTGCGTTGTATTCATTGGTCCGAGAAGGAATTGCAATACTGCGTTTTGAGGCTGGGTAAAGATGTGCACGTTTCTGATGGAGGGATTCCAAACGAGATTGTTCATTCATCCATTATCATTATTCGTATTGCTCGTTGTTACTTCTCATGCGATCCACTTATCCAGTCACTGATTTGAACCCTGAAATGACCAATCCTGTATGACAAAAACCTAGTCCGCAAAGCGAATGCGAAGGCGTTAATTTGACAAAGACGTACACACATTCATAGTGGCTCAAAACTCTAACTTCCAATGTCCCAAATCCCAATATACAAACGTACATCATCGCGTATTCTTCGTCACTACTTATCCTTCCATCAACTTAGACAGTGCCCGGTTCAAACCACGAAATAACGCTGAAGTGTTCATGGACGCCCTGAATCGTTATCTGAGGATGGCCCTCAGCAGGATAGTAAGCGACAAAATCCAGATGTTTGTCGATGATCTTCATCTTGATCTTGATCGTAGGTTCGTATCGGTCCTGACCTTCGTCGGCGCCATTTGCCTTGAGCAGTTGGAGGTAGGGTCGTATGGGCATGAGGTCGAAAACAACTTTTCCGATTTTGTGCACCTTTCCTCTGTTCTTGGGGTGATTGCGAATATAGTAGTCTTCTGTACATTCGTCTGAGGCGAAGAGTTCGTATTCTGCTATCCATTGGGTGGTGTGGGCTGGGGTAAAAATGTGCATGCTTTCCCATCCGTATTCGTGGACGGATTGGGCAGCTCCTTGTCCCTTTTTGATTATCCACTGGATAGTGTTACTGATATACTCCTCGCCGTCTTCCTCGCACATTTCCCAATAATCTTCGTGCTGATTGAGGACATCTTTACTGTAACGATCAGGTTCGTATCGCAAGTGATGGTAGATGCCGATGCTCTGACATGGTATCTTCGCCGGTCCGTTAGTTTTGTCGAGTGCTCGCTTCAAGGCACCCAGGGCAACGCCAGCTGCTGCAGTATTTTGAGGAGCCGTAATGATTGTGATGCTTGTGCCATACTCAGCGTTGATCTGATCCAGAGTGTTTCCCAGATATTCTTTCAACGCTGGGGAATCACCGAAACCCCCGACTAGGACGACCTTGTTCACTTTCGTGCGGGCTTCGATTGCGTAGAAAATCTGGTTTCTCATAAGAGTTGCGATGGTTTTGAGACTTGGCGCGAAAAGAGCTTCCATATCATCACTGTGCTAGTTAGTCACTGTATCTCTTAAATGTATCGATCGACATGACTTACAAACTCAAGACGAATGTACCTTTCTTTATTCGATCGTCACCAGGAATGGCCTGCAGGCCTCGAATCCGAAATGCGTAAGATTTATTCTCGAGGTCCCTATGATTGAGAGAGAATGAACGTTTGGTCCAATTCTCGAATTGAGGTAACACCTCCGTCTCAACGATATGCTCAATTGTATCGTCGCCTGCAGCAGATATTGTAGCATGCTTGAGAAGTGATGTCGCAAACTCGGAAAATGCTCGATTGAGGTCACCAGAGCCACATACCGCCCCTTCACGTGAGAGTTAGCATAACTTGCCTCGTAGTACAGATGTTATAACAGACCTGAGGTAGGGTTGACTTGTCTGCCCAGTCGAAATGGGAAGTCACGTCCGATCTCATATACACCAAGGTCGATAGTCCCACCGCCACAGTCCAGCAGGAGAAATGATTCTCCCAGCTAACAAAGGTTAGTATGAACTACTACGGATGCCTAGAGCAGTCAATTAACTCACATGATATTTGCCAACGTGTCCACTCAACGTGTGCATAGCCGCTGCCTCGGCTTCATTCACCATAAAGAGGTTACATTGATTCTGAGGGCCGATACCAAGGTCAACTTTCCTGAGCGCTGCCTGTACGCACGCGCTCATGATCTCATTTGCAGATGGATCCCAACATACCGGGACGCAGAATGTTACCTCCACGGTGCTACAGCTCTTGAGGCCGTAGTCCCGAACCATGATATACTTTGCGTGCTGCAGATAGAGTTCCAGAAGGTGGCGTATGACATCTTCGTTTTTCGAGATGATATGCTGTAACTTGAGCTCACCCAACGTCTCATTCAACTTCTTCTGAAGGGACTTCAGGTGTACGGTCTTGTCCAGTAGCAATTTGACGTTGACGATATGGCCGGCCTCTGTAAGGCCGTCCTCGTAGACGCTCGGATGATTGCGGCGTTCTTGTATTTGATAGCCATAGATCCTCTTGTGTGTAACGCCGGTAGATCCTTCGCTCTCAGATGAGAGGTACAGGATCTCTGTGGGCACTTGCATGTTCACGCGGCCAGGTTGCGGATCGTCTGGAAACTCCTGGAGTGTGAATGGTGCACCGCCCCGGATGCTACACGCTACTGAGGTGAACGTCGTACCGAAATCGATACTAATACTATAGTCATATGAATGAACTTGGTGATACCTGGCCGTTGACGTGCGCTTTAGTGGGCGCTGAGAATCCAGTGAGGGCTCCTCACCCAGTCGTGCCCGAGTCTTCTGTGTTTTGCCCAGTGGCCCAGTGCTGCGTGCTGACGCCATTGCATGGGTGGGTGTCGTAGTATTGAATCAAGAACCGTTAATGAGATGTTCTCATGAGTGAGGCGGGAAGGTAAATACGTTGTTGTTGTGCTGACGTAACAGAAGCGAAAAGTGGGTCCAGAAGTGAAGGTGAAGGTGAGTTGACCCATCTGCTACTGTCCGACAATCACATGGTCAATAGCATGAACAATAGATTAGAAATTATCATGACAATAGGAAGGCCGGTTGTATGCACAATAGCATACGTACGCATACATACCACGAAAGCCATAAAAGTCGACCTGAGCCCAAGAAGTTCAGCCAATTCAACACCTCGACCTCAAACTTTCTCGACTGTGATAATCCCAAGATAACCAGCATGGCTCCCAAGGCCTCGAAACCGTCACGGTGGACAGACGAAGAAGTTGCGTTTCTCCTAAACTATGGCGACGAATGCCTGCACGACAAGAAGAATTTCCGGGATACGAGCGAAGTTGCATTGCTTGCATTCACTGGACGAGAGGCGACCAAAGCCACTATCGCCAGAAAGATCACAACCTACTTGAAGATGTGTAATCCAGACGCCGTCTTTTCGGATTTCACAGAACAAGGCCTTCGATGCATTGATGCAAGCGTACTTTCCGCGAGCATATTGACAGCGCTGCGTCAGCAACGTCCAACACACATTGGTGATCTACAGTTCCGTGAGACTGAAGAGCCATCAGGACCTGCTGAAGGCGTAATGAGCGGTGTAAGTAGCCTTCAATAGCTTCATAAGTGAGCGACGCTAAGTACATGTGCAGGGGAGACAGCGCACTCAGAAGTCGTACCGCGAATCCTCAGTTGCCGAATCCGATTTGTCAAAAGAAGACCCAGGAGACGCAGAATACGTGAATGATGCTGCGCGCGTTAAAGGCAAGATGCCTTCTGACAGTAACACTGTCGCCGTGTCCCAGGCCAAAAAACATCTCGATAATCATGTGTCCGCGGGCGGACAAATCGAGCCAAAGATAAGCAGCAAGGCGGCAGGAAAGCGGAAGGCCTCTTCATCCGAAGTGTTTGATTTGGTCAACGACAACGACACAGCGCCTCCCCCGAAGCGACCAGCCCACGACAAAGGACTACTTCCGACATTGGAGTCATCGAACTCTGGCAACACTCAGACTCAGGGACAAGCTCCTCTGTCGCTTGCCTCAATCAACGATCAATCAGAAGATATCTCAAGAGATAAGCGTGCAGATAAACCCTGGGTCCAGTCTCCTGGAGAATCTGAGCCTGAGCAAATCTCGGAAGGCAACATATCTCTTGTAACCCGTCACTTTTGGGGGAACAAGTATGCTGCTGAGGGCGCATCGCAAGCGGAATGGCAGAATCGAACCGATATCGAAACTCTCCAGAGACAGTTGAATCATCTTAACTCACTGGTCATGTTCAAGTTGAAGAGGGACTTGACACATGAAGAGATTTCGGACACAGAAGTTAGGATTCTCCTCGAGAGGGTCGATGCCGAACGGATAGGAGGTCCGGCGAGATTGGCCAGAGAGCTACTCGATATCGCGAACGACTGCCGAGCAGCCAAGGACGACGCGTTGGATACCCTCAAAGCAGCTTTCAATTGGCACGAACCTGGTACCACGCTCATGCATCCACCTATTCCCACAGCAAGGGAACTGGTCAATACTTGGCGCGATGCTGAACATGGATATAAGGAAGCTTTTTCAAATGTGCTTGCATATTCGATCCAAGGGGAGGTTCTCACCGATGTGTCGGCTGGTTACGTTGCATGTGCCATTGACGGTCTACTGGCGGACTCTAGCAACCCGGTAAGGTCGAACCTGATGTCTGGTCTCGGCATCCACCTTCAGAGCGGACATGCTATGCGGGCTTTGATGAGCGCGCTCTTCTGCCGCTGGCTCTTTGATACACCCGACGAATTATGTGCAGATCATCACAGTATGCCGCAGCTTCTGCAATATCAGACTATCGCCTTGAGTGGTATGTACATTGATCTCAATAGCGCCGATATGACAGACTAATTATTACAGATGGCTTACCGGAAGTACAGCGCCTTGACAAGGTCGCCTTTAGTGCGTTCTTCGCGACTGAACACTACAAGACAACTACCTTCCCTATAGTAGTTAAGTCCTTCCTGAAGCATTTCGACATCATCACTAAAGTTTGCCCCGGCGCCCTGGGTCTCAACAACACTGGAAATCCAAGTCACTGGGCCGCGGAAGTCTTGAAGCTCAAACAACGCCTCATGATCAGTCCTCACGACTATCGAGTCTACTTCTGCCATCCCGGGATCCCATTTGACCGTGAATGGATGAAAGCTGAAAATCTCGAAGGCGAAACGCTCAAGCCAGAAGAAGTTGGGACCAGGAAAGTTCGCCTATGCTTGTTCCCTGCGCTTGTCGAGCAGGATGCCGAGGAGTTCGATGAGGGTCAGCGCATGGAAGACGCACTCTTCAAGAACAAGAAATTCCTACCTTCCTGGGAGGACAGGAGCAAATTCGACGTGAAGAGAGTGAGGGGAAAGGCGGCTGTACTGGTGGAGGAAGCAGAAGCGTAAAGGCATTTTTTGGGAAATTTCTAATATATCAAGCACTCGTGTCACATGTCTTTCTCTAAGACATACAACGAGTTGCTGAGAACGCCTATGTGACGCTCAATTATTATGATAAAATTGATTATGATAAGAAATATGAACAAAAAATTACGAGACAGTGTTCCATCGATGCGTGAAATATTGACATTGTGTTATACGTGTAGCTTGCTTTGACCGAACACAAGTCGCCACAAACTTAGTCAAAGGGTCCTCTACGTAATGTCCCAACTAGACTATCACCTCTAAACCAGCGAAATTATTGTTATGCCTTTTCTCACGCATATAAGCGCATGATTCATGTGCTGAACTGGATCAGAGCTTCTACTTACGCTCATAATGATCTAATCGTTGGTAATCCTCCATGTGATGTTCAAAGTATAAAATGGTCCATTTCTATGAGCCAAATCCCGAGTCTCGTTCTTGGGATTTCCAGTGAAGGCCAGCATTTTAAAGGATCTGCGACTACGCCCAGTTCCACTTATCCTATCATTAGATAGGACAAACTATATCAATAACGTCTCACTGTCGCTGTGTCCCGTCATCCATGTAATCCCGATGAACTTTCTTAAATCAGGACTTTGAGTTCAAAGCTGGAGCGACTTCACATCATGTAACTGCTGCTTCTCCACTGAGCAATCTAGGTCTGTGTGACAAAAGTTGCAGCTTCATATTTTTGAACCAACTGCTGAGGGAAGAAGATGGATTTACTTGGAATAAAACAAACCGTCATCTTCCCAAGATATACTATGGACTCATTTCTCTCCGCCCGATGAACAACCGGATCCTTGAATAACAGGGTCCTTTCAATGCTACATCTTTCCACAACAGTTGAGTGACAAGTCGCATTGAAGTATCCAACAAAACTGTCAAGATCGCCGTCATACAGTCCAGTCTATTGATAAATTAACAAGATGACGAGCTAGACACTTGCGATCTACCTACCGTCCGCATAACAGACCCTCCTTCACCAAGCTCCAGGCTCCCCAACCCAAACGACCGACCAACGAGCCAAGGAATACATACCATCCGAACCCCCTGGTTTACAATACAAAATCACACACAGCAAAAAAAAACCCCCAGCAAACCTGTCGCAAAGCCCACGAACCCAAGAGAAAACACAGCACAGTGGCCTTCAGAAACCACATCACCGCACTCCGGCACAGACTATGAGCACAAAACCCCATACCAAAAGCCAACTCAAGCCATCAGCAACGAAAACATCATGAACGCCAGGATCCACGATGTAAGCCATTTTACACAAACGACTTCAATCAAACACAACAATTCGCTTCCGAAACGACACATGCAAGTTTTGCCCCGACGCCTGGGAGATAACTGCATGTATGAGCGCCAATCCCCCCCCCCTTCACACATATACTCCCATCGTGTTTTCAAACCACCCAGGCCAACCCATACACACCTGCAAAACCAATCTCCACAAAACCACCTCCGACATACCAAACCCTTCGCTTACAATACCACATCTTCCCCATACAGAGCTACGTATGCCACACCATAAACACCGGATTCCACATGCTCATGCGCAGAAGCGTAGAGTGCGAATCCCAACGGAGTATAATGTAGCAAGTTCCCAAGCTGAGTGGCAGATGGACAAGTGGGCGTGATGACTAATCATACTGGGAGGTATACTGGAAGGAAGAGGGAGGGCTAGGTGCGGGGGGAGATCGGGTGACAAGGGAAGAGAGGGAGTTACTAGGGGTAATGGGGATGAAACTGGGGGATAAGGTAAGGGTGCTACTATGGAATCAAAAAGACCTAACAGACACAAACATATAGATATGCGCAGGGGCGAGGTCAAGGTGAAAAGGCGCTTGGGATTCTGATTTTCAAGCCAGACTTTATTTCTAAGAGGGGGCAACAAAGTCTGGGATTGCGGGGGAGATGGGTGCGGAGAGTTGATATGAATCTATGCGATATACAAAGCAAGCACCCTCATCACACGCACATGTACACATCAACGGCGCAAAAAAATAGAAGAATAGTACCCCCTCCCCGCCAAATACGTCTAATGCCGCTCAGGCATCTGATGCTGCCTCCTCAAATAACTCGTCTCATCCAGCATATTCTGCAGCCTGCCCTCCTCCGCCACCACCCGCCTCACACTCTCACTCACATTTCCCTCGAGGACAACACTACAGCCGCGGGGCAGCCACCTGAGGATATGAAACGCATTCGCATAGACGCTCGTGGCGCCGCTGACGCCGCCATAATCTGGCAGGCTGGCGTGGAGGACGATTCTAAAGGTCTTGAGGCCCCAGCAGTAGCGCAGTCCGAGGCGGACGAGGTCGGCGAAGCCGTCCAGGATGTCGTGGTGTGAGGGTATGGTGAGGGTTACGTGTTTGATGAGGCTGCGGGAGCGCTGGTGTAGGGTTGAGAGGGTGTGTATGCCGCTGAGGAGGCTGAGAGTGAAGACGTTGTCGCTGTAGAGCACTTGTCGAGCTTCTTTGTATATCACGCTGTTTACGCGCAGGAGTTGGGGGGAGATGGGGTCGCGGAGGGGCCGTCGTTCCGGGATGGCGCTGGGGGTTCGCGGGACGGGGCGGGGTTGGGGTCGTGGGGGTGGTCGCGGCCAGAGTGTCTTGTTGTTGTTGTTGTTGTTGTTGTTGCTATTGCTGCTGTGATTGCTATTGCTCTTGCGGCCCTGGTTGCTGTTACTGCTGTTGCTTGGGGCGGCTTCGTCGTCGGATTTGTCGGGGGCACGTTCAGCGTGGAGGATGAGCGGTTCGTCGCGGACAAGGGCTTTATGGTAGACGTTGATGCGAAGTTCGGCGGGAAGCTTCATAAAGGGAAATGTGTTTGGAGGGCAGCGGGTGAGGGTGTTGTTATCTGAGGCGACATCTTTCTCGCTGGGATTGCTCGTCTGAGGCGTCAAGAGTCCGCTTCGTAGTCGTGTCGTCCAGGGCTCAGGCCTGGTGGCTGTTGAGCGCTGTTTCGTCTCATTGGCCTCGGTCTTCGCTCTCGTTCTCCTGGACACTCTTCTCCCGCTTGCCTCGACTGCCTCTTCAGGTAGTGCGACGCGCTGCGCTCTCTTCCCCAGGATTTCCCGCCGCGGCCGGTCCATGGTATAAAGTCTATCGTATCTTCTGCACGTCGCACAGGTGCGAGTCAGTCAGTCAGTCGGATATGTGCTGTTGTGTGATGCGGCTGCTTCCAATCAAAAGTCTGTCATGACTCGGGCCCAGCAGCTGTGTTGTCGTCCTACTCTATCAATATATTGTACAAAACAAACATAAGCTGCTCCCACTCCCAAGACGTGTTTCCAAGACTGGTCGCATAACCGTAGTGGAGAAGGTTTCACGCGGGAGTGCGTGGGTGAGCAGGGGTACAATGCAAGCCTGGCGGGGTCGGCAGCGCCCTGTGAAAGCTGCTCGGAGGGGTTAGCGCGAACCGCGAACGACGTACATGACGGTGCATGCATTACGTCACGTGCTCGTCCCAGTGGTCACACAACACCTCATCTGTAGTAGTCGCCCAAGAGCGGGGGGCCAGGGGAATCATCACAAATACCGGGTATATATTAACATGGCTCTGAATTCAAAAGGGAATCACGTCTACTGCATGCACCAGGTCTCCTCCCTACCACCCTCAAACTTCTCTGTGACGTTCCATGAAACAGTCATCGTTTCCCTCGATGACTTCATATCGAGGATATTCCACACCGCAATGAATAACCAGATGGAAATGCGGAAAAAATAATACATCCTATCCTCTGCACAATCGGCCACCTATAGATCAATCAGATTGTTGGCACCTGGCTGGCGGTTGGGCTGCTGTTGGGCGCCGAATGGGTTGGCACTGCCGTACGGGTTGGCGCCAAAGTTACCAGCGGGTCCGGTCTGAGCAGGCATCAAGCGGTTCTGTTGCGGCAGGCCAGTGAATTGAGAATTGAGAAACGGGTTATTGCCAGTTGCGTTGGCGTTGATGCGATTCAAGCCAGAACCAGCCGAGTTGACAAAGGTTCCAGGGGCCGTGTGCTGAGCAGGCAGACGAAGATTGCCAACGTTACCAAATGTATCCTGCCCTTCTCCCGTGGCAAGGAGAGAATTGAGTCTTGCAGTGTGGGGGTCCATTTCTTTTTGCGGCGCTTGTTGCTGCGGTGGCGGCGGTGTTGAGAAAGATGCAGAGTTATTGAATGGCGTATTGCTGAACTGCGTCTGCGTCTTTTGCTCGGACAAGGTACTAAGTGTTGGCTGCGTGAAAGATGGGGTCGTCTGTGGTCGGCTGAACCCTTGGGCAAAGGGATTGTTAGAGCCAGTAGGCTGAGGCATCAATGATTCCTGCGGCTTGTTCGCAGCCCATGGGTTATGGCTTCCAGGCTGTAGGCTGTTCTGATCCTGCTGTGGTTGTTGCTGCTGCTGCTGTTGCAGCTGCTGTTGTTGACTCATATCCCCACCAAAACCACCACCAAATTGTCCATAGGGGTTGTTCATGTTGAATGAAGTCTGCTGGGGCTGAAGGGGCTGCTGCGGTTGCAAGTACTGCGCCTGTGGATTTCCGAACTGGTCAAAACCAGCAGGTTGTTGCTGTTGTTGGAAACCGTTGTAGCCACCATATCCGTTCTGGAACCCGGTTTGTTGAGGCTGCATGCCAGTGGGCTGGGAATATGCGTTGTTCAGGAAACCAGTATTTTGGGGCTGCTGTTGGTTCTGGTCCACGAGATTGCCAAACCAGTCAACTTGGCCCTGCTGCTGATAGCCTTGGTTGTTCCCAGTTGGCTGATACGAGGTCGGCTGAGCAGGCGCATCGCCAAACAAAAGATCCGCATTCGTCTGCTCCAGCTCCTTCCGACGCAGCTCTTCCTCCTCTTTACTCAACCTGATGGCCTTTGCTAGGTCGTCATCGTCGCCTGCAGCCGCACTGCTACGTTCTCGGCGCCTCTTCTCCTCTTCCGCCTCGTTCTTGCTTGCCTCAAGAGCTAGCCTGAGCTCGAGATCCTCTTCCTCGTTTCGACGCGTTCGGCGCTCATTGATCCTAGGTGGCCTGTGCGAGCCTTCGCCGTTGTGGTGTGATCCTCCTGGGAACTCTTCGATGCCTGTGACTCGTGACTTCCAAGACTTGCGGTCGGCACGTTCTGCTCGCAGCCGTTCCTCGTCCATGATGAGCGAGGTCAGCTCCTTGGCCGCCATTCGCACTGCAAGGGGCTATAAGTACAGTCCATAAAAATTGTCGTATTGCCGGACCTACCATTCTGGCCGACATCGCGACCGTCTTCATCAATGTGCTGGAACTCTCGCAATGTCTTGATGATGTAAATGTTCTTGCGCGCCCACGTAACTACGAGCTCAGAACCTTCGTGCAGGCAATAGTCGAGTACTTTGAGGGACTTTAGCACGTGGCGCCAATTCTTGCCCCGGTCGTTGAGGCGCTTGTCCAACATGTCCATGACCTGATAGAAGTCGGTCGAGCTACCGGGGCTGTTAGGGCGGCTTCGGCAAGGAGCTTGGAAGTCTTACTTGTTGAAGGTGATCTGGGCGATCTCGGCCATGTCGGATCCTACTGGACCCCATGGATCGTTGCTGGTCGCTGTGCTGGTCAGTCAAGGTGCATGCGGGCAAGAAGCGCTGACTACATACCATTGCGGACCTTGACTTCGACCTGCGAGTAACCCTTGGTCACGTTCTTGACACTCCTGACAACTTTTGACATGCTGGAATTTTGTGGAGAGACTCGGCAAGACAGCCAAAGAGAGCGCGCGACCCGTTGTTGCTGGTGATGTGTGGGGGAGTTGTGAGAACGTGGTCGGAACCTGCAGCGCTGTCACGTATGACGTTGGCCCGAGCGAGCAAACGGCAGTCGATCAGGGAAGGACGGGCCGTGAGACAGCTAGGAGATTATGCGCAGCAATGAAGAGTTCGACTGTGTTTGAAAGAGTGCGACAAGACGGTGGCAAGCTTGGTGTTGAGTCGGAGAGGCCAAGCGACTCCGCGTAATGGGCGCCGGCAGAAGCGGCCAGTGCGCGGCTATGATGAAGGAGGTTGTGCACGGCCACAGTCATTGCGTATCGCCAAGGTCGAGGAAGCCCCGACTGATCCACCGTCTGCAATCTGTCAATGTCATCAAAGGTCGATCTATTGCATCTACAGATGACAGTGACTTGGGGGACAAAGTTTATCAGATCTGACACTTGGAGACCTGGTTCTTTTCCCAAGCGAAAGAGAGTCTGGCTGACACATCTGAGAGCCATTGTACCTCCGTCAGACACGGCCTCACATGAGCATCAGAAGGCATAACCGATAGCTGTTCATTCTTCACATTTTTTGGCTCTACTTGCGCAGAATTTCTGTAGTCTAAGGGCGGATGTTGATCCTTCATTAAGTACCAGTCTAGTGAGATTCCGTTCATGTATGCGCCGGAGAGACAGAGACCAACAACACCCCCAAAAGGCGAGCCAGACGCCCTTCCTACCCATCTCGCGCGACAAACGCCCAACTCCTGTTATCCACATCTAGCTCACTTTGAAAGCTGTGTAGTGGTGTCCAATCGCCAAATCAAAGAAGATTGAAATAATGAAAAGTCGCGACAAAAGAAATGAAGGACTTTGGGATTACAATGGGGGAATTCCCCAGCAAGACGAAAGACGCTGTAAACCTCCAGCAAGCTTGTGGAATCCGGCGTGGACTGTGTAGGAGGCAACAGGAAATTACACGCCAGCTAAAACGTAAGAGATTTTTGTTAGGACACAGGGGTATATGTCCTGCCGAGAAACACCAGGGTAACAAACTCGAGAGCAGATTGGGTTTGTGATAGTGATACATGCGAATAGAGCCAGCATGGTTTGCGGCAAGCTATTCGTGAACAAAGCACCACCATCATCATTGATCATCAGCATTAGCCGATGCAAAGGTCTGGAGTGATGACATGAAAACCCCTGGAATGAGTTCTAGTTCGAGGCAGGAACCCACATGTCATTGCCCATCCGCTGCTGGTTGGGGTTGTAATGGTCGGGATCAGTGCTGGTCGGTCGCCGAAGAGTGGGATTCTGGTAGTACATGCTGTTCTGTTGCTGATATTGCGGCTCAGGGTAAACGTAGCCATTGTCGGCGCCTCCAGGAGAGGGAAGAGCCTGTTGTGATGGTGACTGCCAGCTCATGGCTGTCATATGAGGACTACCATTTGCACTGTTGGTTCCAGACTGGTTGTGATTGGCCGTCGTGGGAGGCTCAAGTATCTGTGGTGGGCCATATCCGCCACTGGGGTGAGAGGTGATGGGCGGTCGTGACCCGCTAACGCTGGATGCGTACGATTGTGGAGTAAGGGCTGGCGAAGCACGTGGGCTAGGCTGGGGCATCTCGTTACGCATATGAGGGGGAACATTCATGTTGCCCGCGTAGGCAAAGTCAGAAGTCTGACGGTGCATGCCAGGGACGAAACCTGCACCCATGCCATTGGCGGGTGAGAGGGAAAGAGTGCGGTCGTTCGGGGAGGGGGTGTTGAGGGGAGACGCAGTCTGAGAGTAGTCGCCGCCATCAGAACGACCTGTTCGGCTGGGAGCAGTAGCCCGCGAAGCCAGGGCAGCAGCTGTGGCCGCGGCAGCCTCTTCAACGGTACCAGTGTGATGATTCTGGTGGCGGGTCAAAGTAGTGCGGCGCGTAAATGTCTTCTGGCAATCCGCGTACGGGCACTTGTACGGCCGCTTCCCAGAGTGAATGCGACGATGGCGAGCCAAAGAACTCGAGTCACTGAATGGCTGCAGCTTGTGTTAGAGTAGGCTCGACACACACAAGGGACGCACAGTCAACGTACCTTGCCGCATCGTTCGCACATGTGAGGCTTCTCGCCAGTGTGGACACGTTGATGGACGGTCAGAGCCGAGCGCTGAATGAACTGCTTGCCGCAGTTGGGGTAGTCGCACACATGGGGACGGATGCCGCTATGGATGCGCTCTGTTGGACGTCAGTGCACAGTCTTTTGATGTTGCGGTCCAAGCTCCTTACCATGACGTGCGAGGTCACTGCGTCGCGCGAAGCCCTTACCACATGTCGAACACGCGAAGGCTTTGGGTGGACCCGTGTCGGACGCGGGTCGACCACCATTGTGCTGGCCCTGCGCGTCTGGCAGCTGTTGCTGCGGTGCATACGTGTGGTCTGGCGGTTGAGGAATGTAATTGTTGTTGTTGAGCATGGGCATAGGGGCCTGCATTTGCGAGGGCGAAGGGTAGCGCATGTTGTTCATGTGCTGGGGAGTGAGGGCGGGATAAGAGGGGAGCGGCTGTTGGGGTTGTTGCGATGAGTAACGCGACGAGTCGGACGGATGGGGCGAGACGCCACGTTCAGAGCCGTTCTCCGACTTGATGCGGCCGCCGTTCATGTAGGGCGGCGCACCGAAGTGCTGCTGCTGCATCTCGTGCTGCATGGCGTGTTGCATGGTGAAGTTCGCTGCTGTTCCTGCGTAGACTGTTAATCGCGTGTTCAGAATCGAGTCCAGCTCCATTCCTGATGCAGCGTCCTCTCGCGTGACAGGACACACCGGCTCCGGGGCACACACAGCGGGAGTGGGGGCAGACAAAGAAACGGGGTGGTGCGCACCAGATGAGGGAGCAAGCGTTTTTGGCGGGCTGGCGGGAAGCCTCGCGGTCACAGGCAGCGCAATGTGATGATGCGAGCGTTCAGAGCCGTTGGAGGACAAGTGGAAGTGGCCCGTTCTGGCAGTTGGAAGGAAGTTGGATCGGGCCGCGCGCAGGTCAATGCAGAGGTTGCACTAGATAGATGGTGAAGTCAGTCGGGCAGTCGGACAGTCGAGCGCAGGTGGCAGCCGCGAAGCGTGGGTGTGGTTGCAAAGAAAAGAAGGAGTCGTTCGCGCGCCCACCCCCCCCCCCCCGAAAATGTCGGTCTGGCAGTCACGCTGGCCACGTCCAACGAGGGTGAAAAGGGGAGCGGGAGCGGTGAGTGGGCGTGCAGCGGGACAGGGCGGGCGGCACGGCATCAAGACGAGCAAAGGCGGGCGAGGGTACGTACCTTGAGCAATATGGAGCCCTCAAGAAGGGCAGGGCAGGGGATGGCGGTGAATGGGGGTTGGACGTGGTGTTGAAAGGTGCAGGTACTTCTTTCCTCAGTTGCGCGTTGCCCAGAAAGTGGAAGTCGGCGCTAGGCCTGCTTTGGTTGGGCGAATCAAGGATCCGCGCAGGCAGGTGCGACCCAAAGCTCCCTGGAGGCCGCCGCCGCTCTGCACGTCAAAGGCGGCTGGGCAGACGCAAAGACCTCTTTTTCTCTCGTTCTCCTGGCTGGTGCTCAGGCTGCTGCACTTCTGGACAGACCGTCAGTCTCTCCTCCTCCTCGTCGTCGTCGTTGGTCGAATGTATCTGGGGAGAGAGAGTTTTTTCTTTCTTTCTTTTCTTTTTGCCGTCAGAAATCTGTGCACGTCGTGGGCGCTGTGGAATCTGCTACCCCTCTCTCTCTCTCTCTCTTTCTCCACACACTCACTTATTCACTCACACTCACACACACACACACAAAGCGGTGACTGTTGAAGGAAAACGGCTGATGTCGGGAGAGTAGGGTGAATGGATGGCTGGATCCCTTGGACCGTACACTCGATGCTGCAGCGATCCGCAAAAGTGCCTGATCGAAAATGCTCTGGACCAATGCAAAGTCTGCAAAGTCGACGGTAAAATTGCCTGGGTTGATGATGGATTCCCGGCCAGCAAGCAGCAAGAGAATGAAAGAGTTCTGGTGGCTACCTCTAAGCGTTAGTCCCGTCCAGTAAGCGGTGGGTGGAGTGCCAGGGACCAGTGCTGACTGTGTCCTGTGGGAAATTCTTGGGTGTGGAATGCTGCTGGCTACCAGGGGAAGGGCGCAGCTTACCGTGCGAGATGAGATGCAACCGCGTCGATGGACGTTTCAACGGGTGGATGTTGTGTTTGGTGATTCTGAAGGGTCGCAAGATGGTCTTGGATCACGGGGGTCAGAGAGTGTGGTGGTGCAGGTAGATCAAAGTAAGAGGCGGGTATGCATGGCCCTTAGTATGCATGGCCAGAGGGAGTTCAAGGACGTGGTCTCAGCTTTTGCCAGTGTCATGGCGAAGACGTCTGACGAGCCGCGCTATCCTTGTGGTCATCTCCCACGAGGGGAGGCTACAGCTTCAGCATGACGGCTCCTAGCCTCGTACACACAGTTGATAGTTCTCCGCTATGTTGCTAGTAGAATCGTTGTCCAAGCCGCTGGGGCAGTCCTGCCATGTTGGGCAGATGAAGATCTCCACACACACACACACTCTCTCTCTCTACTCTCTCAGTCCAAATCAACCCAACCAGTCACCACGGTACAGTGTGTACCATGATAGGAAAAGGCAACTGCGGGTGCATGGCTACAGGCTACAGGCTACAGGCTATCCACAGTATCTACTGCGAGCGTAGCCATGTAGCCTGGCCTCGTGCCCAGGCGGAGTACCACGGCCCCTTGTTGGTCGGCGTGGGCGAACAGGGCGTCTTTGCACCGTCTCGGACAGAACAAAGATGAGGAGGGTGTGCATACACACGCACACAACAGCCACCCACACCCACAAAGAGCAAGACTGCAATAGGTATGGCAAGCTGCGATTCAGCGGTTCCTGGAGAGTGCCGGGATCAAGAGAGCATGGGCCCGATTTGGAAGCCGTGTGGAAGGCCGCTAGAAGGAGGGAAGGCGCGCGATGCATGGACTGCTCTCGACACCCAGGGCAGCCTGGCTTCCGCGGCAGGCTGCCGCTTACCCTCCTCCTGGCTTGCTCCTCTCCCCTCTCTCCTCGTGCCACCACTCGGCCCGGGCTCACCCAAGATGACAGCGAGACACGGACAAATCAGGTGGACGGGCAGAGAAAATAAAGTCGGTTTGGAGCCTGGGGACAGCTCAGTGCCACTGTACTATCGACACAACAAGTAACATAACGCTGTCCAGTTGCGGGCCGGGCTCAGTCGCGTTGGGGCGGTGAGTCTTCAGTCCAGCATCAGCGTTGGTGCAGGCCCCCGGTCCAGGGCCTGGCGCCTTGCTCGCCCTCCTTGTTCTGGTGAAACAACCCCTGATCCACCATGTATGGCAAGGTAGATACTTGTATACAAAGATAGTACTGTGGATGTGTGTGTGGATGTGTGTGTGTGTGTGTGTGTGTGTGTGTGTTGTGTGTACATGCATGGATGGAATAGAGTTACTGGGTGGCCTGTAGGCAAACCTTCCCACCGCCATCGATGCTGGACTCTGCCGTAGGTCGTTTGGGCACGCCCCGATGGCGGGGGCTTGCAGCTGGCAACACACGGATAGTTCCCCAATCGACAAGCCATGACCCTCTTTTCCACAAGGGATGTGCACAAGCAGGGAGACAGGCAGTGACATCATGCTCCCAGGTCAAGCATGCACCACATAAACTCTACTATAGTGTACCATACATGTGCCATGTACATATGTAGAGCATGGTTAAGGTACGGTACCTATGGTAGAGCAGACAGAGGAGAGCAGACTTGCACTGTCCCTGCTGCCATTCCCCTTTTTTTTTCTTGGGTGGGGGAGGCAGCACATGTCGAGTAGGGGTAGTTAGGGGTGCCTACGGTAAGCAAACCGGTTCGTCAGTCCACAAGCAAGGAATGACCTACATGGCCACAAGTTCCCATTGTCTCGTCGACTAGAAGTGCCAGCTTCCACTCACACCAGCAGCATCAGCAGCAGCAGCAGCAGCAGCAGCAGCAGCACCGAGAGATGCATACAATAGTTGGCGGTACATGCACAAGTGGTGTAGGCTCGTCAGGTCGACGGCACGCTACCTGCTAGATCCCTCCGTCTGTGCAGTCCCAACCGTGTCCCGGGAAGAAAGACCAGTGCGCATACCAGTACCCGAGATCGACCGTGAACCCGAACCCTCCCTTTGTGTTTCAGCCATCCAGCCCGGCCTCAAACCTTGTGTGCTTTTGTACTGGTTAGCTCATGGCAAGGCTACACTTGTTGCTATCACAGTCGCAGGTACCGTCGTCTACACACTCACTACTCACTACTGTGCTGTGCTGTATTGTAGCTGTAGCTAGCCATCTACCCTAGCCCAACTCCTGAACGCCGGTCTTTTTGTTTTGTTTTTGGCATGCGTTTGCGCCCGTCTGCGGCCAGCGTACGTACGGGTAGGTACCCTTCTGTTGCCAACGTTTGGCAGCCAGGATATCCGATCCTGGTAATTGTGCATGCCATGTACTGTCCACGTGTAGAAAAGTTCTTGTCCCACACCGCCGCATCAACGGTCTATTGCACGGTTACCATGCCAGACACAGACTGTCCAACCCCCGCCTCTCCCCACCACACCATTTGTCTTGTTCATCCTCTTCCTTCCTCTTCCTTCCTCTTCCTCCTCCTCTTCTTCCTCCTTCCCCTCGTTCCAGAAAATTACCCACCCTGGAACCAGCCAGCAAAAGTTGAAAAATTGAAAAATTGAAAAAAAAAAGAAAAAAAAAAGGGAAAGCGCGACGCTCAGACAGCAAAAGACCCGCGCAACACGGAGCACTCTGCTCGCCTTCCCCCCCTTTTCCACAACCACACTCCCCACTCCTGTCCTCCTCAGTCCCAGTAGTTTTCCAGAAGATTGCCCCCTTAAGCCCAGCCCCCTTCCCTCCTTCCCCCTTGCAAAAATCGCCGAAACACGATGCCGGGAGATGAGCTGGGTCCAAAAGTAGAAGCTGCCGTAATCCTCTTTTGGCTTGGTTTCTTTCCTGCCACCCATTCCATCCGCCTTTTCTTTCTTTCTTATTTCTCAGCCCGTTTTTTTTTGGGCACGTGTGTGGGCTTACTACTGGTGCGGTGGGGTGGACGAATCACAGGCAGTAGGGTTGTGTCGCGGGAGCGCGTGCAAACCCGTCTCTGACTGCTCTCTTCTCCGCTCATTCAACTTACCGTTCCTTCCCCCTCCCATTCCAACCCCCTCCCGGCATATCCAGTGCAATTGTTTGTTCTGCTCGTCAAGAGGGGGGATCGGCCCTACTATGCTGTAGCGTAGGCATATTCTGCTTACGCTACCTCCAACACCTATCCCAAAACCATCCTCCATCATCCTCCCACCCCCTTCCCCGAAATTTCAAATCTTACCATGGCACAAATAACCACCGACCTGCTTGAATGGGACTCGGCCGCCTGTTCATTCAGGAGGTGGTGATGATGGTCAGGACCGGAACTGGGTGTTGGTGTGTGCTAGTCCGTCCATCACACAGACAACAAAAGTACACCCCCATCCCCCCTCACCACGCACACATTGACACTTTTGTAAATCCCAACCCCAACAAACATCCCCACACACACTCTCTCTCTCCCATCACCGCGCACGAGCAGTGAAACCACGTGCATTTCCCTCCCCCGCCCTCCCGCAACCCAACCCCAAGCTTCTTCCCGCATGGGCTTGCTGTGCTGTGCTGCGTCTACCCTACCAAGCTATGTCCCCAACGGCCTGGAGCCTTTCCCCCCCCCTCCCTCCCAAAAGATGAATACGTTCCTGCAACGTTCGCGGGACGCTTGGATCATCCCACTCGTCGGGCACGGCTGCGGGCGGTCGGGCAGGTATCCAGGTACGGTATGACGTGCGACATGTGACCTGTGATCTATGCCATGTTTTTTTCTTCTTTTTCCCCGGCTGGCAAGGCGGTTCTGGGGAATGTGTTGGAGGGCAGGGCTGTGGAGGGGTTTGGTGGCACGCCGGGGATTGGGTTTGATGGGGTGGTACGAGAGGGTCAACATTTTGAGGCGCGGGTGCTTGTGGGGTGGGGTGGGGTGGTGGGGTGAGGCGTACCTAGACATGTTGGTGAAGAGTCTTGATGATCCACGTGCTTTTGGGTTTGGGGCAAGTTGATAGTGATGTTGCAGTCATGATTTGATGGTTTCTTCTTGGGAGGAGGGAGGGTCGTGCTTGTACGACGCTGACATCATACATCATGGTTCATGGGACTTTGGCGTGTTGCTTGGGATTGTAGAGGGTAGGTTGCACGGTTTGAAAAGGGTCCATGTTGTAGATGTCTACTCTACGTGTAGACACAATAACAACGCGAGAAATGAGTCAAACGAACACGCCCAAAACAAATACACACATCTACAACATCCTCACTCCAACCCCCACAGTCCCAACGCCAACCCAATGTACCGCCAGCAAAACAAACCCAACCATTACACCAAAAAAAAGAAACATCATCCCCCCCTCCCCCACACACACCCTTCATCATCATCAAACACACACACACACCCACATAAACTCTACACCTGCGGCACACCCCCCGTCCCAAAAAGCTCCATCCTCACCCTCTCCCTCCCAACCCCGCACCCCTCCAACCAAGCCCTAACACCCAGCATAAACGGCACAGGCCCACACACAAAATACCGCGTCCTCTCCTCACCCGTGTACAACAAGCCGCGGTCCACCTTGTCGAGATCGACGCGGCCGCGCACACTGTACTCGCGGCCCGCCTGCTCGTCTGCGAGCGGCTGCGAGGCAAAGTACACGGTTTGCAGGTTGGCGTTTTGTGCGGCCAGGGCGTCGACGTGCGGCTTGAAGGCGCGGGTGTGGCGGTTGCGGGAGCCGTGGATCCAGGTGATGGGGCGGGGGGAGGGGTGGGCGGTGAGGTGGTTGAGGATGGAGGTGAGGGCTGTGAGGCCGACGCCTGCGGAGATTAGGACGACGGGGGCGTTGGTGGTGGTGGTGGTGGTGGTGTTGTTGATGTTGGCATTGGTGTTTTCGTTGGTGGTTTTGTTGTTGTTGTCGTTGTCGTTGTCGTTGTCGTCGTCGTCGTCTTGGAAGAAGAAGTCGCCAAAGGGGTGGGAGACGCGTATGACATCGCCCTCGGTCCTGGCGTCGTGCAGAATGTTGGAGATGTAGCCGGGATGTTCAAAGTGCTTTGGCTCCCCGAGTTGGATTCCACGCTCGCGCTTGACACTGATGCGGAGGTGAGGTTTGCCCGGGGCGTCACTGAGGCTGTATTGGCGGGCTTGCCAGACGCCGCCGTCGAGCTCGGGGAGGAGGATGTTGACGGAGATGTATTGGCCTGGTTTGAACATGGGGAGCTTCATGCCGTCGACGGGCGTCAGATAGAAGGAGGTGATTTCCTCACTTTCCTTTTCCTTTTTGGCAATGGCAAAGTCCTTCCAGTCGGGCCAGTAGGAGGTGGCTTTGTAGAGTTTGGCTTCGGCACCGATCATGATGTCTGCCAGTTGCCAGTAGGCTGCTCCCCATGCGTTCAGGATTTCCGGTGTTGCTGCGTCTCCGAGAACGGTGGCCATTGTCTTGAGTAGGTATTCGCCGACAATGTCGTATTGCTCCGGTCGAATGAAGAGACTGGCATGTTTGTGGCAGATGAGTTCGACGGCAGGGCTGAGCGCACCGAGGTTGTCGATATTCGAGGCGTATGCGTAGAGGGCGCCGGCAAGGGCTGCTGGCTGGTGGCCGGTCACTTGATGTGTGTTGTTGAACACATTCTTGAGTTCAGGGTGAGCAGTGAGCATGTCGGCGTAGAACTTTGAGGTAATGGTAATGCCATGTTCGGCCAGTACAGGGACTGTCGCTTTGATAATGGCGACTTGATCGGGAGTTAAAGCGCCCATGGCTAGAGAGGTAGAGTGCCTTTGGTATGACAATGTTTCGTGCCAAGATGGGTCCAGGAATATCGAGGCGTTGATTTGTATTGATATTGGCGATTGCTTGTCGTTGATCAGGGTTCAAGTATTGTGGATTCGAGTAGGGTCAAGGTTGATAGCATAGAACGATTACACTGTCTGCACCTACTATATATCCTTCCAGTAACCATCATATCTTTCCCACCTTTCCTGCAAGTTCCGTGAGATAACATACATCTCCGCGGTTGTAGGGCTCCGCGTTCAGAATCGTACGTTCTCCACCCGAGTTGAAAAATTGTTGTCCCTGTCGCCCGATCATACGTCTGCTCGTTAAGCGTTTGTCATTTTACTGTATGGAAAACCAAAAGTACGGTATTACGTACATTGCACGTGGTGGAAACTTGACAATACCGCTTCTCCGCCACTTCCGCTACCGGGCTGACTGAACGGGTGGACACTCAAGGACCACCACATGTGTATCCATACGTCGGGTATGCGTCGCATGAATTGCCATTGCGCTCCACTTGCGACGGGAATAGCTATTCTGTTAAACGGTAGGTAATGCAGAAACCCAGCTATCATCTCTGCAACTTCAACTGGAAATTTCATGCTCCTGTCGTTTCACCTCCCCCCTACCCACCCCCAACCGACTTGCCCATCGGCAAGCAGCATCAAGACTACCGTATTCGTGGCAACCGACGGCCAGCCACACTCTCGCCAAAGCCTGTCTCTGTTCTCAAATCATCGTTCTCCTATTGCTTCGACTTTACACATCAAATCAGCAAAAAAAGCTAAACTGTCTCGTGGCATCAAGTTTGATGTTCTTGTGCCTGACAGTCACACCATCTGCAAGCTTCCTGCGGTTCCCTAGGCCAACTCGGTGCCGACTCATCCCGACACTATTTTTGTAAGCTTAGTTGCAAAACATCTCATTGGCCGACCAATGCTCGCTTTATTGTCTTGCCAGTTGTGGACCACGAGCTGATGAGATATTGCGTAGCTCTGATGAGAGTTTTTCGCAGATGTTGTAATCACGTGGTCAGCTTCGAGAGAGACCACTTAGGCAGCTTTAGCAGCAAGTCGAGTACATTATCGTGCAATTGGGCTCTCTGGGATGCTGCGAAAGATTACATTTCATGAGGAAACGAAGTGATTATTCTTATTCACCTAGAAACTTTGTCTTGTTTCGATCATAGTTGGCCATTTTCAAGGCAGAGACACAATTAGTATGGTTTCTTTTATCAGTATTGCTTTTTTTTTGTAGGAAGCTGATTATATATCACCTGTGCCCACTTGAAATAAACCCGAAACTTCCATTGATGAGAAGACACAAACCGGGGTATAAACCATGGAACCAGCAGTACGCCAATATCAAGCATGTAGCCGTACTAAGAATGTAGAAACTCACTGCTATTTCCAACAGGTGAGGCTGAAAGCTGCTGGGCAGCAGCAGCAGTGGCCTGAGCCAGCGCCGCTTCATTCGCAGCTGCCATTGCAGCTGATAAATCGTGATCAACCTTTGATGGTTGAGAGGACGGCCTATCACCGCCAGCGTTGGGTGGAGCAGCGTCGGTACCTTCACGCTCGCCGACTGCAGCGGCGGCCAGATGCTGAAGACCAGCCATGTTCGGCTGTGGTGCAGGAGTATTCTGCTCAGGCGCATTGAGGGGCGGTGTAGGCGTCTTCTTCTGCTGTAATAAGTCACGAAGGGCGGCATCCCAACCGAGACCATCTGAACTCGGATAGATGATGCGTCCGTTTGCCAAGGCATCACTCAATTCCTTGATGCCAGCATGTGCCTCCACTTGCGTCTCCACCCTGTCGGATAGCTCAATCAACGACGTTGCAGCCAGCGCGGCGAGAATGTGGTGCAAAGGGGTCATTGGCCCTTCCGTCAGAGTTCCTAGTAGATCTTTTGTCAAACTCAGAACTTCAGGCGAAGGCACATGCTGAGAGGACAGCCGTGCCACAAAGACACGTAGATACTGATAGGCCAAGTATGGCGGTGAAGTGTTGCTAAAATCAGTGATCTCAATGGACTCGCGATAGTCTGTCAATTGCCCGTTGAGGTACACAGATTCAGGCGATGTCGCGCTAAGTGTGGCGAATGTGAAGGGTGACGATGCATCAATATCCGGTACAGTTCCTGCACGGTTGACATAGGCGATTTGCCCTATAATCTTTGCGGCTCCTGAAAAATCTATCAGTATAGCGCCATAATCAACACTTGGATGACCTACGGGCAAGATGATAACCCGCCTCACCCAGAGCGGAAAAATCGTCACGCGTCAAGGAGCCCACATGCAGCGGTAGCATGATGTCCTTGGATCGACTGGACGCATGGAATCGGTCGAGAATGAAGGCGGACCAAAAGACGCGCCGTGCCATCTGGAAAGCCTCGATGTCTTGCTCTTTGAGCGCACTAAGCGTCCTCGAGTCATTCAAGCCAAGGTCGGTTATAAAGCCGGCGAGTTGTCCCAACAGCTGAGCCGTGCTACCGACAACAACAGGTCCAGGCCTATCGGTAGCAGCAGCGAGCAGTGTCAACGACTGGCAGAACACGAGGTTATTATACAATTGCTGGGAGTGATCAGAATTGCTGAGCGAGTACTTTGCCGCATCTACTGCAGTGAAACACTGTTGCAGAAGCTGATTGAGACTGAGATCTGTTGGTGAAAGCGATTTCGCTGCAAAATTGCGAACACAAGCCTCCAGAGCTAGGAAGAAAGCTTCTCGCAACTTTCCAGGACAATTGGTCAGGCGATTGAGAGCCGAATCGTTGTGAGATAGGATGGGAATGGTAGGGTGGACGACGGTGTAATATCTGCCAGAGGGTCAGAATGGCGCTGAGCTCACCAATATACCTCAGACGTACGCTCTAATGGCTCCTTCATTGACACCGGTGATCAAACTGCCCGCCAAGGTCATCTCACCGAACGATGTGCGCTGATTACCATTGAGAGAAGGATCTTTTTGATGTTAGCACAAGGTGCTCGCTTTTGCTGAACGAGAAGCCATTACCACGATCCTGAGCCGACCAGCTAGGCCTACCAAAATTCTCATGAAATCCTTCCGTAATGGAGTGAGTTCGTTGACGCTTGAATTGGGGCGGGCTCTGGGTGTCTACAAACGTCTGGTCTCCCATTCCTCCAAAGTCAAAGTTATGCGCAGAATTCTGTGGTTGCTGGATTTGGCTTTCAAGGGAATTCAAGCGGTCCGCCAATTCTTTGATATAACTGGTGGCATAAGTTAGCGAGCAGAGAGATCTCACGTCGATGTTGACCATTACCCTTTACTTGGACCACGTTTCATGGGCTGTCTACTGAACTGACATCTTGCTCCCGTTCGCTTACAACTCGAGCAGGCTTCAGGTCCATTCTCGCTCGTTGCATCGCATCGAATCTAGCTGTACTTAGCTAGTTCACCATAAGAATATAGACTGAGTGTACCTTCTTGCGCCGACATTCGTCACAGGCGCGTGACACCTTTGACCTCTTGCGGCTCGGATCGTTGGGATCGTAATGTTCCTGCTGTCCCTCCAAACTCATCACAGCATGCGCCATCTGCTGCGGAGAGTGAGTTGGTCGTGAAGGTCCCTGAAAATGCTGGTGTGCTCCCATGTTGGGCATCTGAGCCAACTGCGGATACTGTGGCTGCTGTGGTCCGCCAGTGTGAATCATGTCGCCGCCCTCACGAAGTTGCTGTAGATTCTCATGTAGGCGCAACTCAGGGTCAGTCAGCTGTTGCGACTGTTGTTGTTGTTGTTGTTGTTGCTGTTCTTGTTGCTGTTGCTGTTGTTGTTGTTGCTGCTGCTGCTGCTGCTGCTGCTGCGTGGGCGGTGTCCCATGCTGATTGACGTAGGGCCCGGCTCCACCCATATGCGCGTCCGGGTCGGCGTAAGTGGCCATTTCGTGGCGCGTCGCGGTTATGAGAAGGAATGTGGAGTCGCGCCTAGGAGAGGATGGGGGAACCAAACTGGCGTTTTACGCGCAAACGCGTGGCGTGGTCCAGTGTTGATGTGTGTGAGAGAAAGCGTGTGCTGGATCAGCCTGAAGGCCGAGGGAGCTTTTGCGGACTTTGCGCCTTTGGTACTAGCGCGGTGCATGGTGAGGAAAGACGTTCCCCTCGAGGACTGGAAGTGGCTTGTAACAACATCGTTGGGCGTTTTGGTATCACGGAAAATAGATATCGTTCTTTGCCTGCCGTGTTGATCGGCAACTTTAGAGTGAATGGAGATGGTGAAGTCGCCGTTCGGATTATCTCTAGACCGTACGCTCCGGACGGCTACTGAGCACGTTGCACTCCTCACCAAGAACTGAAACCCATGCAACCGCTATAGCACTATTTGTGACCGTGGTGGGCTGTCGGAAAGCCAATATTATGTGTATCCTATAGTGTGTATTGCGATGCTTAGTCTTCGTAGGTTACGGTATCGAGCACCTCTCAGCTAGTTGTCCTGGCAAGGTCGAGGCACGTTGCTACCTGGGCAGTTGTCGTGACTATTTTGCAGTATGCTTGCTTGCCTGCTTGCTTGCTGTGCGTTTTGGAGTAAGAATAATCCCTTGCCAGCGATCTAGGTACCTCATCCATCGCGAAGCGGTAGATTAATGCTTACACGAGGATAGATGATTTTTCTAGCGTTGCCTTCAAACAGTAGTCTGAATATAATTAGGTGTTGAAGCACATGTGGTCATCAGCACGCTTCACCAACACCAGGTCCAGCATCATGGTCATCACTTGGCTAACTCGACTTTGTTACGTGTTGATTGAGGATGGCGTGACTAGGCTGACATGCGTAGGATACGAGTTTATTCCTGTGGAGTAATGCCCTTGGGACCTGCGATAGATACCCATGAGTGGTATCAATTGGATTGCAGAGGTGAACGGTCCAATTCGTGAGGGCGACCATGGGCGCGGCAGCCGTCCTATTTTCTGCGACCTACGTAGCATCATACATCATTTTCCCGATGTCAAGACACCATGTACAAGGCATACCTACCCCACAGAGAAAGGCGACGCATATAGATGGTACATTAGTATGGGGTTGTGCGTCGAGGTCAGTCTGTGCCAACACTGGGGTAGATGGTGACTTCCCTAGGGCTGGCCGATGAAGGCCCGTCTGTGCCCTGTCTCTCGATTCATATGCCGATGTTTTCCATGAGGGAACCTGGAGAGGCATCGCTCGAGCGCTCGCATGCAGTTCAGCACGCACTGTGCGCGGGTGTGCGGTGGATCTGGGGGGTGGAGGCGGCAGACGAGCACAGCATTTGAGCTATCCTACATGTGCCGGCACCGTATGTTCTAGTACCATAGCATCCAATACAACCACAGCTGTTCTATGTAGTTCTGGTACCTGATCGTGGTGGCCGCACCGGAGCAACGTTTCCCTAGACGGTAGGAAGGCGCTGGGAGCAACGGCTGCACACAATAGTGATCGTCACTTGGCAACGGGCCCTGAATCCTTCCTACTGTTACATACCGGACCGACAGCTGGCCTTGGGGGAGGATAAGCAGTGTGGTCAGTATCGGCAACCGGTCGAGACATACTGTGTACAGTACTATGTATATCATTATGTATAGTAGTACCTACTATCACTATAGTGATTCCTGGCGCTGACAGCTGCCGTAAATGGATCCTCCACATTACTCGCCGCTAGTCGCTGCTTCTCTGCAAGGCCGGCCGTCACCAGCCACCGGGCGCAAGCAAAGGCAAGACGAGACAAGGCAGGACCTAGCCATCGTCAGTCATCATCGCCATCATCGCCATCGTCACGGGCCCTGGCACCTGCCTTGTCCGCCGCCATGGCTGATCGCGCCTGCACCTTCGACCACCGCCCGTCCGAGCGCTCTTGCCGATGACGCTAACCCCCCCCTCCCACACCCCAGCCAATGGCACTTCGGCACGCCGACTGCCTTCCTTTCTTAACCTGTTCCTCCCGCTCGTTCTTTCTCCTCTCCCCCCCCCCCAATCACCAACCTCACCACCACAACACCGCACCGTCCAGTTGGTTTGGTCGTTCCTCAGGAGCCCCGTTAACGCTTTCGGCCAGCGCCTCTTGCGCTCGGTTCCCCCTTGAATATCTTCCACTCTCCACTCTCCACTCTGTCGTCCTCGGTTCTCTACACAAGGCGTTCACGGTCCTCGTCCAGCAAAGCATACCATTGACCAAGATACCCAACTGGCGCGTTTGATTTAGCATCCTTCCCACCCACCCTATTCTTTTTGATCTGTATCTTTCACTCCCACCGACGGCGCGCCCTTCGTGTGCTGTCTTATTCTTTCCTTTGGCTTCCTTTCTTTGCCCATTGGCTCTCAACGTCACCTGTCGGCTGTGCATAGCCATCTGCGACGACCGCATTCGGCCGTGCCCTCCACGGAATGCCCGTCATCGATGGTGAAAAATGGGCTTGCTCGTCCTGCATCAAGGGCCACCGAGTGAGCGGTTGCACCCACAACGGTACGCTGCCTCATTGGCGCTCGTCGGCGCTCACCTCGCCTCGGCATGGCACTAACAAGGCTCTCTAGATCGTGAACTACATCACATCAACCCCAAGGGACGCCCGGTCAAGCAGTGTGAGCACTGTCGCGGTGCGCGCAAGTCCAAGTCCCATCACGCCAAGTGCGACTGTGGCGACAAGAAGGACAAACTCAAGGACAAAGGCGACGCGACGGGTATGCTTAGCACTGGCACGGCCGTCTTCGACGACTCTGACGATTCTCTAGCTCACGACGATGCCTGTCAGTGCTATCTGGGCGGCAAGTGCTTGTGTGGTACCAAGAAAGAGGTCGATCTTCGCCTGGACACGGGCCGCCAGACGCTTCATGATGCACGCGCCAAACCAAAGCTCTCGACAGCACACTCAGATAGCCACTTGACCGTCTTTGCAAATGGCCACCATAAGCCTTGTCACCGTAACAACAATTCGGCTCATGTCTCGGGTGTACCTTACAAGATCCCTCGTCCCCATACTTTACATGGCCACTCAGCCTTCACTGCTCTGACGCAGGGGACTCCCAACTACAGCAAGCCAGAAGTGCCAGCTACACGCTCCATGGACACCCTCTCGCTCTCCAACAATGACTTCCATGCCATGTTCGGTTCCAATCAGCGCTCTGGAGAATCGGTGCCTTTGAACCCCATTCTGGACGGTGTACCCTTTCAAGAAAACATGTTCAATACTCAAGGCGGCACTCAAGGCGAGAGCTTCGGCCAAGAGGGAGGGTCTCCTAGTAGTAACGTGAGTGATACGTTCGCACCTCAGCAGTGGCCCTGGGCTGCCAATACTGCCACCCCAGTCACTGGCACATTCGCGTATGGAAGCTTGTCGACTTCTCCTTCGCAAGACTGCTTGCCTAACATCGACAATGAATGGGGCATTCCATCCTCTGGTTTCAATCCCTTGTGGTCTGCCGGTGACCTTCCCTTGAATCCAAGTAAATTTAGCGACGGCTGGACACAGCCGATTTCGCATAGCGGAGAATCAAAGCAAAGCGGCCCTGGTCTCACAGTAGCATCGTCTGCGCACTCTGAAGTCGGAGAGCCAAATTTCTTTGGAGACGTTGATTTCACACAGCCTCCTTCGACTGCTAGCGAGTCGCTGTTCTGGGAAGACAGTCCTGTCTATCGCTTCACCACGTCGATGCCAAGCGAGAACATTGAAGCACCGGTTCCCATGCCAACTTCGGTACCGATGGGAAATGTGCCAGAGCTTGAGCCTACCTACCACAAAGATGCCGTCGTTGCACCCATTCCCATGACCAGCACAGCTCCAAGTGACTTCAGTGAGACAGCAGCCATCTCTATGCCGAGTAATTTCGAGGATGTCACATCTATCGAGAGTTGGCCGGTGGACCAGAGCAACGGTGCATTTGGCGCGTTGGCCAGCTTTGACATGAACTACTCGAATAGTAACTGGTTCTGAGACGCCTGCGAGGGACAGTGAAAGTAAAAGGCAAAAACTTGCAGTCTACTGCTGCCCCTTTGATGACGCCATGACTGATGACGCTGCTGGCATGCCGGTTCAATGGTACCAGCAGCATGGAGTCGATCCTTCTTCCTTCCAGCCAGTTCTGGCCCCCTTTGACCTTTTGGTCGCCTGTGTATATTCTTGATCCGAATCTTTTGTTTTTGCATGCGTTTGAGGTCATGTCACATACGTCGCATTTTCTTTTCATGGGCGGAATATCCACAGATGTGTCGGTGGGGTTTTTTTCAAATGGGTGGCTTGCATGCGATCAAAACATATAGACATTGTTTTCGGCATTTTCAGCCGCTGGGACTCTAGGATGAAATAGAAAAAAAGTTAGAATCATGCTTGTTTGCCTTTTCGGCCGCTTTGCTATCTGTACGCTACTAGCGCTAGAAGCGCTAGAAGAAGTGATGCTCATCTTCTGATCACAGGGAAGTGCATCTGGGTGTTGGTGTGTGTGTGTGTGTGTGTGTGTGTGCGTGATGCAAGGCGAGCTCCTTCTTAGCCACCGTGAGCCGTCCAGTCTTGTCCCCAATCCAGCCCGAACAAGCCCGCTCCACCTACTCTAGGGCGGCCCCAGCAAAGCTGCCCAGCATGGCAAGGCTCAAAGCAGAGTTTTCCCCCGTTTTGATTGGACCTTGTTACACCGAACCAACCGTGGTCGCCTGCAGACTACACTGTACGGTGCTGCATCGCGAGGAGGCGTAAGGAACTACGAGGAGAAAGGAAGAAGAGGTAGAACTAAGAAGAAGAAAGGGAACAGAAAATATGTGGATGATACTAGAAGTCAAATTTTCTCCATCTTATCAAATGTTTATTACAACTTGGTACTTTTTATTTGCTTTTCTCGCTTCAAAATGCCTTGGGACAATCAAGGTCAGCGCCAGCCAGTTAGTTACGCGCACATACTTCATATTTCAGACACGATCATGGAGGTGGAAGGGAGGAAGGGGGGGGGGCGGGCATGACAGTGAATTTTTCTCTTTCTTTCTTTCTTTTCCCACGGCCTGGCGCAAGGGCAGACAGGCAGTTTCGGGTACAGGACGCTAAATTGGTGGCTCGCTCTCGCTCTTGGTCTTGTCAGATGTGATGGAGACGCGGGAAGGCTTCGAGAGGGCTTCGAGAGTGGGGACGGGATGGGTGTGGGTAATGGGTATGGGTATCGGTGCTGGGCTTGTGGTGTGTATGGGGTGGTGGTGGTGCGGGGGGTATTAGTGATGACGTTTGTGGATGGGTGGGTTGGCTTGTTGGTTAGATGCATGGATGTGTCTACTTTGTTCTACCATCTACTACCTATGCATAGGTACTGTACCTTTTTCTCGTTGAAGAGGTGGGTGGATACGGTGTTGGACTATGCGGTGTTCACATTGATTAGATGGTTTCTGGCTTACTGCACCATACTATGCTCTATTCTAGGTACTACGCAGTGACCTCACCTCGCCTCTCTCCCCCCCCCCCCAATAGTTGCGTCGTTGTAGTCGCGATACCGAGTTGACAACCTACGTACTTAAAACCTAGGTCAGGACCTACAGTATGCAGAGTAGACATGGTACTGCGTGTGCATGAACACCCACCCACCTACTCCCTCCCTCATGATCCTCCCCCGCTCTAACCCGACGAAAACCGCTCTGGTGCTGGTGCTGGTGCTGATGCACAGCCTCGATCCTGCAACACAATATAACAACATCACATACATGAAGGAAAAGAAGGAAGGGACTTGGGCTGCACCGACCAGCCAACTGGTTGACCAGCCAGCCAGCCAGCCAGCCAGCTAGCCGCTCCTTCCTTCTTTTCCCTGCTGTGTTCGCTTCCTGCCTCTATTCCACCCCGCATCCCTGCCTCATGCAGACAGACAAGAGATCCATGCATCGTCGTGCGTGCAACCGAGCCCTTCCACTCCAAACCAACACCGTGCACATTCACCGTACACAGTACAGTATGCGGTAATTCTTGGTGCCAGTCTGCTGCCCTGCATTGAGATACCCTAGGTAGGTGGGTAGGCTGGTAGCCAGCCTACTCTACCATCTCCCCCAATTCTATTCCACTCCCATCCCAAAACGCAGCCTGGGAAACAAGTACACTCCCCTCGCCATCTCCATCCAGACTAGACCTTTTATACCCCCCTCGCACTCTTGCAAAAGGAATATATAGCGTAGCATAGCACGGCCCGGCACAGCATCACACAAGACAACAATGTCCCTCCATCTAGTCCCCCCGCATACTCTACCTACAGTGCCAGTGCCAGTGCCAGTGGCAATACCCCAACCCACCCAGCCTAGACAAACCTTCCGAGTGGGGAAATCACTCATACTGGGTACGCCATGCCATGCTATACTATATATACCCTTATCTTGACGCCTGGGCCAGAGTAGCTGGCATTCTACCTTGTGCTGCTCGGGATCTTGAAGAATCTCGGCATCTCGTTGGGACCAGACTAGATGCGACTGGACTACGGTAGACGAGATGGCGGACACAGCAAAGGTACTTGGATGATAGGGTGTTGGAGTAAGCGAGATAGTATGCGCTGCGGGGGTGGGGGCTGTGTATGTGTATGTGTATGTGTATGTGTATGTGTATGTGTATGTGTATGTGTATGTGTATGTGTATGTGTATGTGTATGTGTATGTGTATGTGTATGTGTATGTGTATGTGTATGTGTATGTGTATGTGTATGTGCATGTGTACATGTACTGTGTATGGGGATGGGAAAGCACTGTGGGGGAGTAGCGACTATGCGTGCAGTAAGGTTGTGCCACAGTGTGGGGATTTGCGGTGTACCGTGTACGGTACCGGTCGGTATCCCTTACTCTTGCTTCCGTTGTTTGTGTACTATGAAGTGATGTGATTATGCACGTGCGCTGACTTCCTATCGCCCCCGGTCAGTGCGCGTAAGACGGGGAGATTCACGGATGATTCAAGCAAGGGACGCGTGGTGTGGTGCGTGCGTGCATGTGTCGGGGTGTCTGTGTGTCTGTGTGTCGGGGTGTCTGTGTGTCTGTGTGTCTTCGTGTCTGTGTGTAGGTACAACAAGCCAAGAAAAGAGTGCTCTGGAGGTTAGAGATAAGGTACCTGCCTACATTACTATTTATTGCGCTGTTTTGTAGCCTAACGTAGTCTAGTGTTAACCGTTGGTCTACCTTGCACTTTCCTCTTTATATTCTTACTTTATTAGTGTACACATGCTGTGTAGCTAGTAATATTGCTAGTAACAGTCCCCAATCTAAAACCCTAGTCTCTCATTTTTACATCTTACTATACTGTATCGTACCTTTTCCCTCTCCCTTGTTTCTACTCCGTCTTACCTCACTCCCCTCTACCTCCCCTATTCTTAATTTACCTAACTCCCCCCTAACCCTATATATATGATAACTAGAGATTTCTCCACCCCCTTAGGCTTCAACGCCTATCTTACTATGGACGTACCCCTCCTCCCTCCCTTTGTAACGACACAGGTAGGTAGGAACGTCCGAAAGGGGTCCGATACGACTCAAAGGCATATGGGAGTGCGCGTCTGTATAGAGATTGAGCGAATTAATTCCTGCACCTATAAATCTTGTACGAAAGGACAGAAGAACTTGTCTATCTATCTAGGAACATAAGGCTCCTTTTATACCTAGATCTCAGAACCAAGTAAGAGCGGTATCGGCAGTTGCCTGTCTGTCTTGGCTGCACTGGTCTTGAGATGGAACGAGGGTTGCACTCGTCACACCCTTGATTGGAACAAAAACGATGGTTGTCATACACATATCTCCCTACGTATACATAGGCACACAATTCCCAACTCGTTTATACTTCATATGATTTATTCATTCTGAATCTCTGCTATACAATCCATCTATTGCCCCTATATCCTATGCCCCCCTCTCGTATCAACACAAAAACATCTTCATCCCCTCGCCACACCCTTTCCTCATATGTCCTGCATCCAACCCCACTCAACTCAATGCTCAGTGCCACGCAAGCCATGCCCGTGCCCCAAAAAGGTCAGCATTGACCAAAGCAAACGACACACGTGTCGCCAACGGAGAAAAACTTTGCAATTTGTTCTTACTTTTGGATGTCCATGTACACGCAGAAACAAAAACATGAAATTGTCCATGTGTACGATGCAAAGCAAAGGGAGTTGGGGAGCCGGGGGCATGATACGTAGCTGATTAGGGGGAGACGGAGAGGGACAGAGACAAAGAGAGAGAGGAACCTTGCGATAGCTCATATTTGCATTTGAATTAGGTGTTGCATGCGAGCTGCAAGCTCTCCTTTCTTCTTTTTTTTTCGTAATTCTGTATTATTATCAAGACTCGACTTGGCTCACGCTACGAGACCGGGGCCCGGGGGACCAGAGCCATCATCGCCACCTCTGGGTGCTGGCAAGACGGCTGGGAGGCCACTGTCTGGAATCTTGATGGGCGCGTCTGGCATCGACTTCAACCGACCGGGTAGATCTTCGCCCTTGATCACCTTCAATATCTCCTCCTTGTCCAACGTCTCGTACTGGACCAATGCGTCTGCTAATCGGTCCAATTCTTGCCGTTTTGACAATAATAATGCCCTCGCGCTCAATTTAGCTTCGTCAATGAGCCTTCGGACTTCATTGTCTATGAGTCGTTTGGTCTCGGGAGAGACCATTTCGTAATTAGATTTGAAGTCGACATTGCCAAGCAAGTCGGAGAAACCACAGCTCGTGACCATGGAGTATGCTATGGAAGTGGCTTGCTGAATGTCGCCAGAGGCACCGTCGGCTACGTTGTCGGCCCCAAAGATAATTTCTTCAGCCATCTTGCCACCCATGCACACTTGCAGCTGGCGGATGTATTGTTGGCGGGTGTGGTGGTGCTCTTCGTGGGGAAGGAAAAATGTGATACCGGCAGCATGTCCTCTGGGAAGAATGGTTGCCTTGTGAACGTCGTTGAAACCCTTGGTGAAAAGACCGACCAAGGCGTGGCCGCCTTCGTGATAAGCTGTGTGAATCCTGTCCTGCAGTGGGACTGCACGGCTTTTGCGCTCAGCACCCATAGTGATCTTGTCTTTGGCCCACTCGAGGTCAGTTAGCGTGACGAATTTGGACTGAAGCTTCGAGGCGCGGATAGCAGCCGAATTGGCGAGGTTCTCCAACTCTGCTCCGGAAAATCCAGGTGTACCACGTGCAATCGTAGACAAGTCGATGTCAGGGTTGAGGCGGATCTTCTTGGTGTGATATTTGAGAATGGCAAGGCGACCACCCACATCGGGTAGCTCCACCTGAACATGACGATCGAAACGTCCAGGACGAGTCAAGGCAGAATCGAGAAGCTCGGGATGGTTGGTGGCCGCAATGAAGATGACACCGGTGCTTTGGTCAAAGCCATCGAGATCGTTGAGAAGTTGGTTCAGGGTTTGTCGGTGGTAGTTGGCATCACGGGACTTGCGCTTTCCACCTATCGCGTCGAGTTCATCAATGAAGACGATAGCCGGGGCTTTGGAGCGGGCAGCAGTGAAGAGTTCGCGGACACGTTTGGCCCCCACACCAACATAGACCTCGTCGAATTCGGAACCGGACATGTAGAAGAAGGGGACACCGGCTTCGCCAGCAACTGCACGCGCCAAAAGCGTCTTACCAGTACCAGGAGGACCAATCAGGAGGACGCCCTTGGGGAGACGACCGCCCAACTTGTTGTACTTTTCAGGGTTCTTGAGGAAATCAACGACATCGAGAAGCTCCTCTTTGGCCTCGTCGCATCCGTGGACATCGCTGAAGCGTGTATTTTGGTGCTCCGGGCGGACTTCAGCACTGGTTCCACCGCCAACCTTCTTGAGTACCCCGCTCGTCTCGACGAAGAGAGTGATGAGGATCAGGGAGACATAGACAGCCAGAGCGAAGCTGAAGGCCCAGCGAACCCACTTGAAGATGACACTCATAAGTGACTCCTCCACTACGACATAGACTGGGTCGCTCTTGACACCGGAGCCGCCGGTGACTTTGCCAATCTGAGCCGCGTTGGCATTGGCACCGACAGCCTGAGCGACAGACTGTACACCTTGTGGTGTGAGGCCGTGGCCAGCCTGCGTAGTGCTAGCTTGTCCAATCTTCTGTAGGGCGGAGTTGTAGAGTCTATCCACGGCGGCGTTGGTTGCGAATTGACCGGTGTTGTATCGGTTGACGATGATTTGCGGCATGTTGGCACGCATCAGAGCAGAGTAGAAAGAGGCCTGGGCGGAAGCGCTGTTTGGATTGTTGAGCGCCGCCTCTTCGAGCCGAGCGAGCTGGTCTTGCGAAGGGCCGCCGAACAGCCCTCGCTGCTGGATACGATGCAAGCCAACCAGGCCGGGCCGAGAGAGCGAGCGGAGTTGGGAGAGAGGACCATTGCGAGATGTAGTCGGCAGGTGTCGTGCGTGGAGCGCGGAGAAGGGCGCGGATCGAGCCAACGGGTGGTTGCCTAGTCCAAGTCTTGGGACTATATGTATGTGTATCATTAGCCACGCACTCCCAGACCAGCTCGAAGTCCACGAACCTGAAGATAGAGGGCCAGAAATGACAGGCGCAGACCGAAATGATGGGCGCGCGGCATGGAATTGTCTGATGCCCAGAGATGTAGACGGGTGGCCAAGCGCTTGGGACGGGGCCCTCAGAACGGTAGACATGATGGGGATGGACTCAGAAGCGAACGAGGCCGCCTTCTGTGGAATGTTGTTAGCCATGACAGAATCGTGGCGCGAAGGGTAAAACCGGGGTTGACAGGCACTCGTGGCAAAACGTACACGGACAGCGACAGGCGCGTGGAAAGCCATGTTGGGCAAAGAAAGAATAGCGGCAGAGGCCGCGAGCGACTATGTGGACGGCCAGAGAGCGGGATAGACGCCAGCAAAAGCGCGTGGGCACCTTGACTGTGTGTCGCGGCGAAATGGTAGCGGGTGCTCGGTGTTGGTGGAGATGGAGATGGTGGTGGTTGGTGGTGATGTCGACGGTGTCCAGAATTGGGGCGGGACATGGCCGATGCTCACCCGGCTTGGCTTGTCCGTGCTCACTCAGGGCTTCCTTCCCCTTCTTTCGGTTAGACAGTTTGCCTAGACAAGCAAGACTCCAGTGCCACTCTGTGTACAGCCACCGATACACTGATTCATTCTGGGGGA